CAACTTACTACTAAATACATAATGAAATCAAAAGAAATAGGGAACAAAATATCAAAACTCTCATATATATAAATGGACAAAAGCCTTGAATACACAACTTGTCCATTGCTAAGAATCAGTAAGTGAAACTATGGATAAAGGTCCCATTTCATTAGCTAACAACAAAAATATTACAAAGAAAGAGTTCAACATATTTTGTACCCGTTGACTCAGCAAAAATGATTATAATTAAAGGCTACCCAATGGTGGTAGTTAAACTCACAGGAAAGGTGACAGTGTAAATTATAACTCTTTTTGGAAAACAACATGGCAACATTTCAAAGAGTCATAAAAATGTTCATATATTTTTATGCCATGATTTAAACCTTTTAAATCAATCCTAAAAGAACAGTACAAAAGACAGAAAATACTCGATGTGCATAGATGATAATTATAGCACAATTTTTCTATAGGTAAGCAACAGAAAAATAAAGTTAGACATAAAACAGTTTAATGGAAAACTTTCAGACATTAAAATTATTGTGGAGGCCGTGCAGTCATATTGAATACCTATTACAATATTAAGTAATGAAGAAAAACAAAAATTTCTCTAAGTCTAAAAAAAGTATATGCGCACAGACTGGATGAAGCAAATTTAAAAAATCTAATGTTAGGGTGGGATGAGAAGTAATTTTTAAATTCCATCTTGATTTGTAAAATCTGAAAATAAAACAAATAAAAAAATAATCACTTTCTGCTCACGTCCCAGCTCTCAAGGCCCTCTACAAGTTTTCAAACCCATACAACACAAGCACTATAGATAATTCTGATGTGCAACTAATTCTAGAAACCTTGACAAGCTGGTTTCACACAATATTTCCAAGGTAATCTTTAATCAGCCATCCTCTCCAAACTGGTTTTCTCGCTGTCCCAAACAGTTTTTCTTAAGTAACTGCATCCTTGTTCACAACCTTCATCCACTTAGAAAGACTTCCTTTCTTCTAATTCTACATATCACATATCATTAACCTTGAAAAGTCTTCAATGATGGCTAAAATTATTTTTGTTCTATATTATAAAACCGATTTGTTACAAAAAACAATTAGATTTAACTGTATACTGAACTTTGACAAATCTATTTTTCTCATATGCCATGATTTAAATCAAAATAAGAAAACATCTACTAGAGCAAAAAACCATATAGTTTTATGAAGACTACTTTGGCTGCAAATAAGCAAATTTAGTAACTTTTCAAAAAATAAGGAAACCATTAGAAAAGCAGCTACATGCAACACAGCAATTTGCTCTACTTTTCAATATACAGACATTCAGAGATAACTGTACAGTGGGACAAATTCTATCTATTTTAAAGAGACAGACATATAATAGTAACACGGCCAATCTTGATTACAAAAGAATATTTAAGTAAAATTGCATACCAGAAATATAATTTCAACAGATAGCAGATCCAGGTCTTTTAAAAACTGGAACACCTTTCTTCATTTTTCCAGAGTGAGGCTCCCTCTAGAAGACAAAGACTTTTTTGAGTATGTGATATGGCCCACACACACAGTATAGATTGTTTTGCTTCATTTCTAAGCACTTTCCCCGATGAGACCTTTGTATGTGAAGTGTTTTACCATAGGTTAAAAAAAAAAAATCAAGAAAATATTCACTGTGTCATTAAAAATTCAGAAATGGGAACACCACCAATGGGTTAAAAAAAAATTCACAGGGACGTTCTAATTTTGAGATTTCAGTCTAAAATATTACATGTGCGTGCTCAGTCACTTCAGTCGTGTGCAACTCTTTGCAACCCTATGGACTGTAGCCCACCAGACTCCTCTGTCCATGGGATTCTCCAGGCAAGAATACAGGAGTGGGTTGCCATGCCCTCCTCCAGGGATTATTTCCGACCCAGGAATATCAAACCTGCAACTCCCATGCTGCAGATGGATTCTTTACCACTGAGGCACTGGGGAAGCCCCTGAGATATGTCCATGAAGCTGATTTTACACCCCTGTTTGAATCCTTGACCAAATAAATAAAACATTCTGCTTTCAAAATAGTTTTTCTTCATAAAAACATTATTAAAAACTTGACAATTTTCATTCTGTAGAAACATTATTCTACCAATTTGGGCTCACTGAAATAGATTACAAAAACCAACTCTATCAAAATTAATTTTCTTTCATTTATTCCTAAGAGATGATATATAAGTGTTCAGTTAATATTCACCTCTAGTTACCTTCCACTGAAGTATCATAAAATCTTAAAAAAAAAGACAAATGTCATGAATAACTATTCTTAATGGTTCTCTAAATCTTTATTACATGAGCAATTACAATTCAACTCAGTATTAAATCAGGTATCTGAAACATTAAAAAAATTTGAAAGTTAAGCCGGCACTGGTAAAATACAAATTTTCAGAAGAGAATTACTGTTAAAGAAAACACAAGTCTGCTTATTTCACATTTCCTATATAAAAGTACATAAAGATTCCTAAGAAACAGTGATAGCATACATATACTGTATCAGGTAGGGTAATGTAACAGTGATTAAACATGATGAGAGAGGCACACAGAAGGTCCTATGAGTACAAAAGCACCTGGGAATGACCCCAGTTCAATTCCTGGATCTCGAAGATCTGCTGGAGAAGGGATAGGCTATTCACTCCAGTATTCTTGGGCTTCCCTGGTAGCTCAGCTGGTAAAGAATCTGCCTGCAATGAGGAAGAGACCAGGGTTCGATCCCTGGGTTGGGAAGACCCCCTGGAGAAGGGAATGGCTACCCCCTCCAGTATTCTGGCCTGGAGAATTCCATGCCATGGACTGTATAGTCCATGGGGTTGCAAAGAGTTGGACACAACTACAACTTACACTTCACTTTCGGAAGGCTACATGGAAACATAGTTAATCTCAACTAACTCTACTATAAAAATAATTTGTTTTTAGTAACTCGAAACGTCACTTCTGTGTAATAAAACGTTTCACTGTACAAACGCCTAACTGTACTAGAGCAAAAAAATAAATTAATTTTAAGAAAATACCCCTAAGGTCCAAAAAATTCTCACTTATTTTACTATATGGGTGACACAAAAGACTGATAATTTTACCTGACTACACAGAGACCCAGGAGATAAAGCTCAAAAATAAAGCCAAATTATATAAAGAAAAGGGGGGCAGGAGAGGAAAGAGAGTAATAACAGGAAAAAGTACAAGAAAAGATGTAAGAGCAAACGCTTTGATGGACAGTGGTATGATTTCTTTGCCCTTTTACTTCCACTTCTAGAAATTTATTCTGAAGAAATAATCGGGCATGTCAGGAAATACCTAGATGCGTAGAAATTTTAGTCATAGCCATCAGTTCTCAGAGAATATCTTTTGTAAAACATGCACAAGGATATTCAAATATATTACTGCTATTATAAAAATTAAAAGATCTGGTAACATAAAATATGGCACATTTACCCTACAGAACACTATGCAACCATGAACGCGTATGTTCCCAGTATTTCCCACAAAGAAAAAAACTTGAATGACAAAATGAGCACGACTAGAATGACCTTTATTTTGTAAAACAAAACCAGAGAAAAAGAGACATCTCTGTGAATAACATATAAGTACGGTATAAACCGCAATCACCTTTTGGTAGTGGTGATACATTTCACTTTTTTTTTCTTTTGTTTTTTTGGTAATTTCCAAATGCCCACTGACAGGTATTATTTGGATCAGATAAGTTTTAAGTCAGGCAGTGGCATTACAGGTGATTACCCCCTGGGGAAGTTGAGTAGTATACTACACATTCTATAATTTCCTTTAAAAAAAAAAAGGGGTAACTTCCAAATTCTTACTGAAACATCTTTTCTATATGCCACATTTTAAAATAGGGAGAAAAAAAAATCATAAAAATTTCCATATTATTCCTTGATAAAAGTATTAAGTACTTAATTTTCGAGAAATGGGAACAGCATGAGTGGGTAAACAAATTCATGCGTGTCCTAACTCTAAGACTTCCTTGTAAAGTATCACTGTCAGGAAGGGAATTACACAGATTCATTTGAACCCTTGACCAAAGACTTTTTAAACTACCACTCTTTGATTTTGTTATTTATGGCTCTCCTTATTGATCCATAAAAAACCTTCCAGGCACTCTCCCCAATTCCAAATATTTTTACAGACATTATAACTCACCTCAGGAATACTTGCAGATGTCTGTCACTGAGCTGTTCTGTTTTCTTCAGACCAACTGCTAAAAAAGCCCAAATAAATCATTAAATCACTCGATCATTTTCTAGTCTGGAGACCCACCAGTATAACAATAGGGTTCAAAACAAGTATTATGAGGATCATTTAAGCAGCTATTCAGATGAGTGTAATTAGGCGACTCAATAAAAATACTAATAAGCATTGCAATTTCTTAACAAATAATTCTGAAAAAACTGTTACGAGTGAAAAATTGATTCAGCTTTAGTAAAGATGTCCTCGAGTAAATTTAGTCAACGTGGATTACTATCGATTCTTTACATTTTCTTAATTATTTCAATATTTAAAATAACTTGCCCAATAATACTCTATTCCTACCATTTCAAATGAGGGTTTTCTGAAACAGAACACAAGATCTTGTTCATGAAGCAAAATCAATGGCTCCCTAACAAAGTCCTATGGGGGAGGTCCTTTCATTTAAAGTGTTTTCAGTCCCTGCAAATCCACTGCTCTTCCCTTTCGAAAAGCTCGTGAGCCCCGTGCACTGTGGCACAGCCATTTGTCTAAGGTCAGAGCAGCAGAGTCGTGCTAACAAGGGAGTTCGAATTCCTGTGCACCCAAACTCAGCGTTTTCTTCTGTCTCCTCATTGCTTAACCGCGTGAGTAGCACGCGGAAACACCTTTCCACGCAGGATGGGACTCAGAAGCCTCCCCTCCCCATCTTAACTGGTGAGGAACCTTCAGTTGGTGGCCCTAGGTCGCAGAACAGGACAAGCTGCCCAAACCACTTCCAAAGGGAGGACGCACTGCTCTGAGATGAGCAGAATCCCGAAATCCCTCACCCTCCCGAGAGGAGCCCAAACGGTCAGCCCGGAGAAGGAGACGTGCACGTCCCCTCCGCCTCTTTCTCTGAGGCCGCGGCAGACGAAGCCTCGCCCCCTCTCAGCCCGTCCCCCACCCCCGCCCGCGAGCAGCTCCCCACCCCCGCGCAGGGAGATCTCTGCTATGGCCGCCGCCCGGCCCCCTCACTTCCGGTGCCGGTGCCGCTAGAGCTGCGCCATCCCCCAGTCCACCGGACAACCACCGCTTTCAACTGACCTTTCTGAGAGATCGGGACTCTTCCGACCTTCACTAGGTGCTGTCCTGGAGGAATCGGCGGGTGGCTGCCGCAGTTAAATGAATTCACGGGATAAAGACTCCGCTCTCCTCTCGCCAGAAACATAAAATGCGATACAGCTGCGGCCACCTCTGCCCAGACAAAATGGCGCCGAGAAGCTGGTTCAGCGCAGGCGCCTTGGAAAGACCCTGCCCCGCCCCCTTGCAAGTCCTGGCCGCAGCTCCGGGTTCGGTTTCCATGGGACACTCCACCGCCAATCCTCGTGCCGCACTGCTCTTCCTGACCCCTCAATTGACCAATCAGTGCTCAGTCGAGCACATCCGTAGTCGTCTTTACCAATCATTTTTCAGGCCTTGCTTACTCACTACCTGATTCTCCAGTAACATTAGTCTTCGGAGACAGCCAATCACAAGTGGACGATGTCCTACCTGCTGTTTTTCGCACCAATCCGTGAAGTTTCAGAGCTACATCCAATGAGGACGGCAGGTAGCGAACTCCAATCCGAAACTCTTCGGCGTCATGAGCAGCCAATAGGAGTTCGTGTAGAAGCGAGTCTGCTCAACAGCTTGTTATTTGGTGGATTGTGGCAGTAAATCGGGAGAGTGGGGAACCCGGCGCAGGAACTGCCGCCGCGGCCGGGAGTGGTGCTTCCCGGGCGGGGGCCCACGGGGGTCAGTGGGGCGGAGGACTCGGGAGCTGACAGCGCGCACTTCACCCACAGTTGGTAGGTGGGGAGAAGGGAAGCGAGGGTACTGAGTGGACGAAGCGGCACTAGCAGCTGGCGCTGCTGCCCGGGGTCCCGGTGCAGTTGGAAGCTTAGGAGGTGGGGAGGGGGATGCTTGGCAAGCGGGGCGGTCAGCACCGGAGAAGGGGCAAGTCGTGGGGCAGCGGCAGCAACTGCAAGAACAGCCTCCGCAGCAACCTCCTCGGCCGCTTCCCCAGGTTCCCTGGGAAAATGGCTGTGGGGCTGGTCGCGCCGCTAAGTTTGCTTCCGCGATGCGAGGAGCGGACTGCTTAGGGGAGCCAGCCCCCAACTCCGCGGTGCGTCCTCCCGGGTGGAGTCCGTGGCAGGACCGGAGGGGCTGATGGCTGGTACCGCTTTGGGCTGTACAAAAAGTTGAGGCGGGCGCGGGGAGGAGGCGGTGGCTGCCGCTGTGCAGCTCCCCTCCCCTCCCACACCCTGTCCGGGCCACCTCCCCTCCTCCTCTCCGCCCCCCCTCTCCCAGCCCTCTCCCCCTCGCGGGTCTTCCCTCCCTCGCGCGCCTCCAGGCTGAAGGCCACGGCCCCTGCCCCTTTGGGTGAAGAAGCGCTTCTCCTTCCTGACATGGTGCAGAGCGGAGGAAGGAGAGCAATGGCGCCGTGACACTCCGCTGCCGCCACCGCGGGCCCGGGGCGGGCCGAGGGGGCCGAGCGGCGGAGGCGGGGCGCGGGCCGAAGTCGGGGTATCCGGGGGGCGGCCGAGAGAAGGCTGAGCGACCGCGCCTGCGAGGGGCCCGGAGAAGCCCAAACGGCGCTCTGCCCTTCTCCGGAGCAACCCGTCCGGGGGCACTGAGTTGAACATTCCGGGTCAAAGTGGCTAGCAAAGCGGGGGCGCGGTGGGCCGCTGGCGAACTCCGCGGCGAAACCCGCTGCCCTTTGGCGCCGGTGGGGTTCTCGCCGCCCTCTCGGCTCCTGCGTCCTGGCTGCCCTCGGAGGGGATCTTATCCCTTCCCGGTGAGGGTTCTGCCCCTCCCCGTTGGCGTTTGTTTACTTTCTTTCCCCGTGTCGCTCCCCTCCGTTGACTGATTCTGTGCCTGTCTTTCTCCTCCCCTTGGTTATAGCGACGGAGAAGATAGCTCGTTGAGCTGGAACCCCACAGATCGCCAGTGAAAATGAAGGTAAGTGGAGTCGACGCTGCTCGGAACCTCGTGCCCTGGACACTGCCTGTCGTGAGGCTGGTGCTATGGAATGTCATTTTTTTGGCTACTCAAAATTGATTCCTCTACTAAGCAGAGCTTTCTGAAAATGAGGACGTGTTGAATGGGTAAGAGATGATCATTGTGTCTAAATGCGGTCAGTTTGGCCCCTCTCCGAAGCAGTTAGCACTTTGGAAAGGCTGCTGCAGCTCTTCCATTGTTGTCCATTGGGCTAGTATTTTTAAACACTTCCTGTGTTGGCAGCAACCTTTGCAGAAGTAAAGCTTTTGTCCTGCTTTGGTTCTTTGGGGGATTTTTTGAATTTTTTTTCTTCCCTAGTGCCAATGAGATTTTCTAAAGAAGGAATGTGTGTATTGTGTTAGGGACATACCATTTCTTCTGGGGATAAAGTGAAATTTTGTGGCTAGAATATATTTGAAGGTGAACTAAAACTAAATTTTGTATATTATTATCATAACTAATAACACTTAATTTCAGTTCAGTACTTATAGTAAATATTTTAAACATATACCCAACCTAAAAACAAATTCTTCTGAAGACAACTGATATTGCAGACATCCTGTGATGTTTAAAGGGAAAGGAAGGTATACCAACCTGTAGTTCTGAGGCATTGAATGTTTCAGGTCAGATAGTTATTTGCAAAAAGTATTTCTCATCAATTTGCATTATTCATAAATGCACTAACTTTAAATTTGATTTCTTACTCATTTACTGTTTCGGTGTATTGAACTCTGAAATACAGTGTTTTCCCAAACTTCCTCTTCCTTGCCAATCTCCTTGAAGTTTTGACGTGACAGTGTACCTTCTTTAATGTTAGTTGGGAAAATAGAATGAAAAGTCATTTTCTACTTGAAAGTATTTCTCTAAACTGTACACTGTCACCGTTGCACTTAGCAATGTTGAATTGAATTTGTATGCATATACTTTTGAAAAAAGTTGGTAAAGTGACAGATTGAGATAGCAATCATTCTGTTACTGTCAAGATTAAAATGAATGGAGGAATGATATTTCTCACATCTTTCAATGTATCATTCTGATCATGACCATTTGCTGAAAGCAGATACTTCTTTCTGAAACTTAAAAAAAATATATACCAAGATGAGTGTGATAAACTTGGTACTACTACTATCAGTTCACATCTCTGTATTAATCAGATAATTTAGACTTGAAGCTGTAAAATGCAGCACTTAGCCAATGATTTTTATAAATAATGTTCTCTTTGTCAAAAAGATTAGCTTCATTATCTATTATGTCTGTTATAGTGTATCCAAGATGTTGCCTTTATGTAACTATATTAAACATTTAATTATGTATTTGTTAGTATTAATTTTAATAGTATATTTCTTTTAATTTGAAAATAAAATTTTCAGGAGGCCATAAGTGAATATCTTAAAATCCTATGAGATAATATAAATAGGCTTTTTCTGGATTTTTAAATTTTTTCATTTCTTAAATATATTGTAAAATTGTTGAATCATTTTGTACCTGGATGAGAATACATTATATTTCCCTACTGATACTTTATAGTTACAACTTAAAATGTTTTATGTTATCAAGATATAGTTTATTAAGTAAAGGATTGCTAACAAAGTGCTTTAGGAATATTTTTCAAATTATTAGTGGTATTAATAATATTAAGCCAATAATGTTAGAGTTCCTACTACTTGAAATATAGAACCTTTCAATGAGACTTGGGGTTGGGGTTGGGGAAAACAGCAGTGACCTTCCTATTTCATCTTTCTTTCTTCAGGCGGCGGATGAGCCTGCCTACCTGACAGTGGGGACTGATGTCAGTGCCAAATACCGAGGTGCCTTCTGTGAGGCAAAAATTAAGACTGTGAAAAGGCTGGTAAAAGTTAAGGTAATTTTTCTTTTTAATGCAACAGCTTTATTAACTCAGTGGAAGAGAATTAGAGGTGAGGAGACTGCAAATCAGCACTTTATTTATTGAATCATTACTTCGCTTACTGAATCATTAGTATGTGAATAACTGTTATATAGAAAACTGTAGGAAAGGCACATTAGGAACTGGGAAATAAAGAACTCAAAATGAGAAATTATTCCAAACTGCTGCTATGAAAATACTGTACTCATGGTACTTCCCATTATTTGGATCTTTCCTGTTTGTGGTGGCTATAATCTGTTGTCTTTCCTTTCTTATTATTTTGGTAGAGGCGATTTCAGGTGGTTAGAAAAAGCAGTAGATTTTTAAAAACAAAATCGTGGAAATTATAATTTCACGATAGCATTAAAAATGATTTAAGAATTCTATTAAAAAAAAAAGAATTCTATTTTTAAGATGCTTTTATGGCCAGAAAAACAGTTACTTATTCCTGTACAGTATTTGGAAATATAGAAAAGTACCGAAGGAGTAAAACCAATAGTCTACCTCAGAAATCCTAGTATCATTTTTATGTTTCCTCCAAGTAATTTTTCTATATAAATGTTTTTAATAATCATAGTTATTTAGACTACAGAAGTAATCCATGCTTATTATAAACATTTTTTACATTCTAGAGCTGTATAATAAAGTTCATAGAAGTCCTTTTTGATAGTATGCCAAAGAGATTTGATGTGTTCTAGATTTTGGGCTGTGCCTTTCGATAACAAGTGTTGTTATTACTGTTATTCATTGGAAAATAATCTACTTTCAGTTTTGCAATTTGTTTTCCTACAAAAATCAAGCACTGTGAAAGGAGAAATTGTCTTGTTCTGTTTGGAATACCTAGATTAGTGCCTTCTACATAGTGGGTGCTTAAAATGTGTTGAATAAATGATTGAACAGTGGGTCCAGGACCAGCATCATCAGCCTCGCCTAAGAACTTGTTTAAAATGCAAATTCTCAGGTCCCTACCCCTGACATAGTGAATCAGAAACTCTTGAGGGTGGGGTCCAATGATAGTGTCATAACAAGCCCCCAGGTGTTTTTGATGCATGTTGAAGTTTGAGAACCATTGAACTAGAAAAATGAGATTTGTGTGGTGGACAGATAGATTTGTCTATGATTATTATAAACTTTCTGTTTAAATTTTCATCTGATGGTGACATTTTTCTCACGTATTGTTAGGCTATCATTTGACATTCATTTATTTCTTGTTTCATTATATCTTTTTTTTTTTTTTTTTAACAATATCAGCTATACAGGATCTGCTTACCAAATATTTGCTTGGAATTCTTTTGAGAATTTTAACTTTTTGTTAGCATCATAGTTCTTTATAGATTAACTTACTGAATTTAAAATCAATACCATGCTTGTTCTGGGAGGTCTTATCATATATAAATTACCTAGAATTTGAAGTTTCTCCTTATTGTTCCCTTTCAGTTTCCCTCTCCCATCAACCCTCTCTGTTAATGTGCTGTGCTTAGGGGCTCAGTCGTGTCCAACTGTTTGCGACCCCATGGACTGTAGCCTGCCAGGCTCCTCTGTCCAGGGGATTCTCCAGGCAAGAATACTGGAGTGGGTGACCATGCCCTCCTTCAGGGGATCTTCCCAACCAAGGGATCAAACCCAGATCTCCTGCATGTCTCTTGTATTGCATGCGGATTCCTTACTGTCTTAGCTACCAGGGAAGTCCCTCTCTCTTAATAGAACAAGTTATATATGTAGGATTATCTGTAGTAGAAAGGAACACTTATTTGTGACTAAATTACTTATCATATTACTATTTAGGTTTATTTTATAAAGGACCAGAAAATGTCTGTTTTTAATTTGTTTATCTTGCATATAGGGGATAAAGTTTGATACTGTTTTTATTTTTTGGGGTGGTGATGTGAACTTTTATGACTAGTTGATAAAAAGAAATTAAGGCAATTTTAAGGTTTTACTGTAGTCATTACAGGTTATAAATCTTGTATAGTTAATTCTGCAAATATTTATTAAGTGCTTATGATATGCATTGATACTTGCTAACTGCTGCAGATACAGTGATGAAAGAGGATTCTAGCCCTCAAGGAGCTCACAGTTAATGGGAGAGACAATAAACACAAACATAAGACAATGTAATAAGTATCATACCAAAGGTAACCACAGGATGCTAAGAAAGCATAGATTAAAGACATTTTTGTTACAGTGTTACCATAAATATATTATTTTAAAAGTAACGTGTGAACTCTTGTGCAAAAATGTTTTTTAGGTACTCCTGAAACAGGATAATACTACACAATTGGTGCAAGATGACCAAGTAAAAGGTCCTTTAAGAGTACGTATTTTGTACAGTTTAAAATCTAAAACGATTAGTCATAAATGCATGCAGTGATTTATTGAATTTTACATGTGTGAATACACTTTTGTGTTAATTAGAAAACAACAATACAAATGAGGTGGGGTGTGTGTGTGTGTGTGTGTGTGTGTGTGTGTGTGTGTGTGTGTGTTAGTCGCTCAGTCGTATCTGACTCTCTGCGACCCCGTGGACTGTTTACATGTGTGAATACACTTTTGTGTTAATTAGAAAACAACAATACAAATGAGGTGGGGTGTGTGTGTGTGTGTGTGTTAGTCGCTCAGTCGTATCTGACTCTCTGCGACCCCGTGGACTGTAGCCCGCCGGGCTCCTTTGTCTGTGGGATTCTCCAGGCAAGAGTACTGGAGTGGGTTGCCATTTCCTCCTCCAGAGGTGTTGTATAGTTGATATAAATTATGACATTAACAATGTCTGTATCCTTAGTTTAAGAATGTTAAACGTCTTTAAGAAGAGTATTTTAGTACATAGGAATATGAATTTCACTGCTTTTTGTTTTGATTTCTTGGATTGAATACTTTTTCATATTGTTACCACAGAGGTTTAACTTGCTAACTGTGCTATACTAATATGAGTCTGAATGTTCTGTTGTTCAGACTTACCAAGTAAACTATGTTGACTTAATAATTCAATTTAATCAGTACCTACATTATGTTTTCCATCCATGTCTGGCCATTTGTTTTATGTTATAAATCTTTGTTATGTCAAAGTACCACTTCAGTTAATACCTGATATACAAAGGTCTGGAAGCTGAAAGAAGTTCAGTTGGTCCATCTCTCTGTATCCAGGTGAAACTTTATCTAAAAGGTCCCTTAAATATAAATGCTGAATCCAATAGTCAATATTTCTATGAAGGAAAATTGAAGTTATTTTTGTTATCTTTATGGTTTTTGGTTCTTATACTCCACAGTTTTCTTACAGGCAATACGATATAGTAAAAAAGCTCTGAAATAAGACCTAAAAGACTGGGTTCTCATCCTGAATTCTTTGCAGATTATTTTCTCTTCCTGAGCCACAATTTCCAATGTATAAAATGGGGTAATAATAACTATCTTACATAAGCCTCAGTGTTTTGGGGCTGGAATTGCATGATAAACGTTAGAGCACTATAAATGATAAAGATCTCTGGGAATATAAGGTAGACTTACCACAAATAGATATATTTTTTTACCTAGTCATATGGTTGGTAGGAGTGATTTAGTTTATTTATTTAAATTTGATGATGAAATTTTGATTTTATGTTTTAGGTTGGAGCTATTGTTGAAACAAGGACATCTGATGGATCCTTTCAGGAAGCTGTTATCAGCAAGTTGACAGATGCTAGTTGGTATACTGTGGGTAAGTAGTTAAGTAATTTAATCGGAAGGCTTTAATTTGGGGGGTTTCATATATATCCTTCTGTTTTGTAAATACATTGAAACATTATGTTGGCAGAGAAATAGGTACTTTTTCTTGTCAATTTACTTGATATAGATGGGTAAAATTTTAATGACAGCTTGATGGTAAGTATCAATTATCTCTTTACAGTAACTTGGTCATTTAGGGTTATTTCATCCAAGAGTGTACTCCTTTTTTAGGTTATCTTGATATTTCCCTTCTAGAAAGTTAAACTCTATGGTTATATTTCTTCCTTTAGAAAAGTCAGTACAACTTAGTCATCAGACTTTTAAACTTTTTCTGGAATTAAAATTGCATAGTGCAGTCTTTTATTGTATTGCTGCCTGTTTTATATAAGGGTAATACAGATGTTACCATGGAATTCACAGACTGAAAAAGTCCTGGCCAGAGTAGATTCAAGCCTAGATGATCATAGGTTAATTTTTTATTTTCAATGTAGTCAAGACTCTTAACACCTTTCTGGAAAGATATAAATATATATATATAAAGATATATATGCTGCTGGGTCATTCCCTGCCAGTAAAGAATCTGCCTGCCAGTATGGGAGACACAGGTTCGATCCCTAGGTCCAGGAAAATCCCTCGAAGTAGGAAATGGCAACCTACTGTGGTATTCTTGGCTGGGAGATCCCATGGACAGGAAGCTGGTGGCCTACAGTCCATGGGGTAATAAAAGAGTTGGACATAGCTTAGCGACTAAACAACAATATATGCTGCTAATGTACATACATTTTTAACGTTTCATGCATAAGCTTATGATGACTTTAAAAAACTTTAGTGAGTAGCAACAAGTGTCACAATACATATAAATGGAAACCTAAATATAGTACTCACATAGTTGCTGTCATTGTGCTGATGAGAATAACAACAATTAGTATTTCCAAGTCTCCTTTCAGTACTTTGAAACTACACAGTCCTGCCGATATCTTCCAATCCTTGGCTTCACACTGAACATCTGTGGCATTGTTTTGTTTTTACATGTATGTCTTGGTATAAAAGATGTAATTATAATATTGTGGTTTCCCTGCAGAAGGAAAAGAAATGACCCTTTAGATTTATTTTTAGTTTACTTGATTTATTGCTTTGGATAAAAATCATTCATTTCTAGTTGATGCTCAGAGATGTGAAGAACAATTTTTAGTTGAAAATTGTACTTCTGTGTCTTATGCTGTGGCCTTTATTAATAGTAGCAATCTGCTCTATGTATCTATTATTTTCTAACCATCTTTATTCTTAGACCTCCTAGAAGTTGATGTTGGTTCACGATGGTGCTAGTATTCTGAACTCTATATTTTTAGGAGGGTTAGTTGTGGCCATTGATAGTTGTTTGAGATTTAAAACTACGCTTAAAGTTAACTCTCATAGATTAGGTAGATGCAATTTTGCTGTATTAAATAAAGCAGTGGTAAAAATTAAAGGAGTTGATGTGTGCAGAAGCATGGGACATTATATGATGCATGTTTCAGATACTAATGTACATCCTATTTGGTACTCAATATCAAGGTTACAGTCACAGTGCTTGTGAAGTTTTAGTGATATAATGCTCAGCTTCTACAGAAGCAATACTTTTTTTCAGGTTTTCACTTTTTGGACTTCTGCACCCCAGAATAATACTTTAATTATGAATAACAATTTCTATCCTTTACATGAATGGCATTTTAGTATTAATACTTAAACTAGTTGATACTGCGCATTCTCTGTGGTGATTTTCTGTGACAGGTAATTACAGAAGAAATAGTATAATTTTTTTTCTCCAAGAGCTTAGAATCTTAATTGCATATGATTCATGTATTAAACAGTGTACATACGACTCACATGGTGCTAGTTTAAAAGAAAATGAGAATTTGAGGACCTCAGGTCTCTCCAATTTAGCATGTCTAGGATGGCAACCCAAGGATTTCTTTTATAAGCACATTGGGTGAATCTAATGCAGGTAGTACATAGTTACGAAAATAGGCCACATTTGTTGAAACAGAAACTAATTTGGGAGAAAAATGCAAAATAAGATTTTTACATCTGTGTAATGAGACAAACAGTGATCAAAAAATTTTAATATGGAAAGATACTGTTCTTTTAAGGAGACTCAATGTAGCACTCTGCTATAAAGAGTGTTTAGATATTGAAGGATGCAGACTACATAAAGAAGGATCAGAGTTAGAAGATGGCAAAATAAAATGTGTGGTCTCTCATGGATCACAGACTTTGTATATTTTTAATTAGGTGGCTACTTATCAGTTGGATTTAAATTCTTTTGTAATTTTTCTTGATTTCTGATTTCTAGCAAAGTGTTAACATAGGTAGAATCAGAAAGTTACACAAAAGTGTTATTAATGTTCTCAATGATATTTTTGGTTTTAAAGGAACTTGAAATTACGTCACACTATTAAAAAATGGAACAAAAGGAGATACCACACTACTAGTTTGGATAAAATAGGATAAAATGATTATAAGCATTAGTTACCAAAAAGTTATCTGAGAAGGTAATATTGACTCTTTATATAATATAGGTATTAATTTTTCCTATTCTAACTTAATAAATTTTTGAAGAGATTATGGATCTACCGCAACTCAATTAAAAAAAAATGTAATATTACCTTGCCCTCTAAGTGTTGAATGATGAATAACACCAGTTCATGGATTTTGGCGGGGTGGGGGTTGTTGAGACTTGGAAATATCTCCTCTTCTATAATAAGACACTGCCTTTGTAGCATAGTTCATTCATTTGGCAGTTCTTATCCTTGCATTAAAGATAAGGAATGTATGTAATTGTATTGTTAATCTGTCCATTCAGGAGATATCAAAAATCCTGCCAAATACAACTGTCCGTGAGACATTCTATAACTGTTCCTTTGCTTTTTTAGAATATAAAAATAACACACTTATTTGAAAAATATGGAAAATGTGAGGGAAACTGAAAAATCAGGAAAATGTAAAGGAAGTAGTTGCTGTTTGCTTTAATTTATATATAAATGTACGTAGGTCATATATCAAGTTTAACACTAGAATCTTTTTTAATCTTATTTTTGTAACATGTTTTTTAAGATTTGGGATATTTTCATACCTTGTACTTATTGTTCTGCATATCAGTTTTATCATATCTCATGGAAATTCTAAGTTAAAGGAGTAGAGGAAGTTTAAGATTAAACTGGTGAATGAACTGACTTTTGTAGAATGTTCTCTAGGCTTAAGAGGCTTTTAATTTGATTAGAACCTCTTATGTATGACAAGGCTTCCCTGGTGTCTCAGCTGGAGCCTGCAATGCGGGAGACCTGGGTTCAATCCCTGGGTTGGGAAGATCCACTGGAGAAGGGAAAGGCTACCCACTCCAGTATTCCGGCCTGGAGAATTCCATGGAATGTCCATGGGGTCGCAAAGAGTCGGACACAACTGAGTGACTGTCACTTCACTTACGACAAATTTGTTATAACCAAAGTCAGTGACAGAATGTTTTCAAAGCCAAGTGGTTATTCCACTGACCAGAAAAGTTTCACTAACAAAAAAAGTACCAAGTAACATCTCTTCAGTCCGGTGATAGACTTTAACCCATTGTTTAAATAGCTTTTTCTGAGACTTAGCATTCCCAGGACATTTTACTAATATAGTTATACATTTGAACATTAATTTCTTAGGTTTCCAGATTCATTGATTTTTTAGATTAGCTGCTGAGTGGCATCTGTAGTTATCACAAACGATTTTGTAAGTAACAGAGCTATTGTTTTTACCAAGGATGTCCATAACTTTTAAAGTATTTATTATGTGAAATGTTTTGTTAATTGTAACTGCTATTGCTAAGTCTCTTCAGTTGTGTCCAACTCTATGGACTGTAGGCTGTCCAGTTCCTCTGTCGTGGGATTCTCCAGGCAAGAATACTGGAGTGGGTTGCCATGCCCTCCTCCAGGGGATTTTCCTGGCTCAGGGATCAAACCTGCCTCTCTTGTACCTACTGCATCAGCAGGTGGATTCTTTGGCACTGTGCTACCTGGGAAGCCCATACATATATACATGTATATGTTCTTTTGCATTGTGGTTTATCACAGGATACTGAACATAGTACCCAGTGCTATACAGTACGCTTTGTTGTTTATCAGAGTCAGAATTCTTAACTTTCTTCCCAGTGTTCATTTTATGCCTATGCTTCAGTACCTATTTATTATCATTTTGATCCCCTCCTTAACTAAATTGTAGCTCATAGATTAACCTTCTAATGCTGGACTTCTTTATCTATAAAAGGAAGATAGTGATGCCTACTCTGCTGAGGCTGCTGTGAGGATTAGGACATAGTGGAAGATTAATAAGTAATAGTCAATTGTATCTTTGAATAGATAAAGTTAATTTACTGTTGTTGTTATCCGTTATTCTCCATCATCTAACAGTGCTGTGATAACCAGTAGAATGTTTTGTATTTAGTAGTTAGACTGGATCCCTGTTGCTTTTGTTTCTTTGAAGTCTAACAATTTAGGGTTAGGCTTTGTATGCTTTTGTATTAGCATTATTTTGTCTAGTGTGATTAAGGTTATCAAGTCTTAGCTTTTTTACTGTCATCAACTTAGGTTTTAGTATTTATATAAAATTTACTGACAGGTATAATTTTGTACTGTTCTCTTGCACTCAGTCAATAATATATTTGCATGCCATTTTTGCCAAGTATAAGACATTTTGTGCCTTATAATTACTGAATCTTATACTCTGACTTTTTTTCTCTTGTCATACTGTAATATTCATCTCAAACCAAAAATAAACTAAATTTACTATATACACCAGTTAATTATTTCACTCTTATCAAAGTTCCAGAGTCACTTTTCAGTGTCTTTAAATTACGTGTTCTTTTAGGTTATACTTGTAACATGGAAGTTATGGAGAAAGCTTCATATAGATGGAACTTCTTCATGATTTTTTTTTAAATTTAAATATTAATTTATTTAGTCGCACAAGGGCTCAGCTGTGGCACTTGGGATCTTTAGTTGTGGCATGTGGGATCGAGTTCCCTGACCAGGGATCGAACCTGGGCCCCTTGCACTGGGACAGCTGAGTCTTAGCCACTGGACCACCAGGGAAATCTCCTTCTTCATGATTTTTATAATCAAGGGTGTCCTGATTAAACAGGTCCACTATATTGTTGGGTTTTCTGTTCATCTTTTAGAACATCTTGAGAAATTATGTGGCTCAACAGACTTGTATAAAGTATTCAAATACATATCTTTGTATAGTTTTATGAATTAAAAAAAGTTCTTAAACTGCTTCTCTTTTTCACTTGAAGTTGGAAGGGTTCCTAGGTAAAACTGTACAATGGTTGTTTGTACCACTGTTGTCTTTCATTTTTATGTCATTTCTAACCATGATAAAGTATGCTGAAGTGAAATTAATTTTTTTCTTTAAAAATTAGATAGATTTCAATGTGTATATTTAAAAAAAAAACAAGAACTCATAATATTAAATTGTTGAAATTTCTCATCAGGGCATTTTTATTTGAGGCTGCTGTTGATTAACAATAAAAATTGTGAAAAAGATTTTGTTTCATAAATTTCATATTAGTGATTGGTCTTAAACCGGCATTTTCCTTCCTCACACCTCTGTGTTTTAACTGTGGTATATATTAGTGTATACGTATGTGTCCATTGTCATCATTTTTGCTACTGTATTATAGGGTAGGCATTAAGGAAAATTGGAACTTCTAGGTTTCATTTTTTAGCATACTTATATTAATAATAGCATGAATTATTTTAAGTTTGATATGACAGTTTCATGATTTTGAATTTTTAAAAGTGCAGTGGTTTGTCAGAATTGATGATACCATATGAATCGTAATTGTGATATAAATGTTTAGAGCATTGTTAATCAAGTGTAGATTAGTGATATAATTGTTGGAGAACATTGTGTTTTATCTTGTCATTGTATCTGCAGGTGATCATTAATTCATGCATCATTGACAGTATATAACACAGATGATTTTATGTAATTAGTGAAAGTGAAAGTCGCTCAGTTGTGTTTGACTCTTTGCGACCCCATGGACTATATAGTCCATGGAATTCTCCAGGCCAGAATACTGGAGTGGACAACCTTTCCTTTCTCCAGAGGATCTTCCCAACCCAGGGATCAAACGCAGGTCTCCCATACTGCAGACAGATTCTTTACCAGTTAAGCTACAAGGGAAGTCCTTGTAATCATTATGGTTCTTTAAATATGTGTATCAGGAGTTTTTAATTTTCTTATTTTCTCCTGCATGTAAGAGAATCTAAAACTAGGTATCTTTAGTCTAAGAGGAAGAACTGTCTGAGGTAGATAAATATTAAAGGAGTTGAGCATTCTTACATAATTATGTTTCTAGAATGAAAAAAATAAGTTTATGATTTGAAGACAGTGTGTTTACTGATAAAACAACCCTTTAAGAAAAATTCAGGATTTCAATTACATAGATAGCATAGTAAAGATTCTAAGATGTTATCAAATTAGGATGATGTACAGTTTTCCTTTCTTAACATTAACCTATTGTGTCAAAATAGGAAAACATATAGAATTATAAAAATTAAGAGTAAATCTTAAAATTAATGATCATTTTTTGTGTATGTATGCTTTTCTGTGTATGTGCTTTTTCCATAACCTATATAAACATTTGTTGATGTGTACATGGCATTTTAAATATCAGAGGTAAGGATTCTGTCTTCTTGTATTTTATCTTTTCATAATGCTGGGTATCAGGTGTCTTCTGAGAACATTTTCTTTGTGAATATCAGATATTAAAATCAGTATATTTCTGAAAAATTAAACTTATAAAATTACCAAAATATATATACCTAGATATATGGAGAGTATGCATGCTTGCTAAGTTGCTTCAGTTGTGTCCAACTCTGTGTGACCCTATAGGCTATAGCCTGCCAGACTCCCTGGTCAATGGGATTCTCCAGGCAAGAATACTGGAATGGGTTGCCACACCCTCCTCCAGGGGATCTCCTGACTCTGGGATTGGACCTGAGTCTTTTATGTCTTATTCATTGGCAGGCAAGTTCTTTATTACTACTGCCACCTGGGAGCTGTTACATTCCTTACCCTCATATCCTTGAAATATTTACACATACTCCACAAGTAGTATGATTTCTTTTTAATGTAGTAGAAGTAAAAACTCGAGAAAGTTTCTGTGCCATTATGACTTATTTTTTAGAATTAAAAAAGTTTTTCATCTTTCTAATGTTTCCTTGATTCTGCTTTTACTTCTAAACATCTTTCACCCTCTTCTAGCAAAAGAAACAAGTTGAATCTTGTGACTTTAGAATTTGGCAGCAAGAATTTCTGTTATAGTGGGTTATCACGCAAAGAAGTAGCAGCAGTAGAGTAATCCACCAGCATTACCAGGAATTAAACAATTTCTGGATGTTAGAGATACTCTGTTGATAACTGTTGCAATAGTAGCGTTCTGTGCAGTTAAATTTTTTTAGTGTGAATAAATTCTCTGATATCTTTTGTTTATTGCAGTGTTTGATGATGGTGATGAGAGAACGCTGAGACGTACCTCTCTTTGCCTGAAAGGAGAGAGACATTTTGCTGAGAGTGAGGTAGGGTGCCATGGATGAACATTTTGAATTGAACAGCAGCTCCTAATATAGAGGCAAAAAGTGATTTAATTTGTCTGTTTCTTATCCAGACACTTGACCAGCTTCCATTAACAAATCCAGAGCATTTTGGAACTCCAGTAATTGCAAAGAAGATGAACAGAGGAAGGAGGTCCTCTCTGCCTGTGTGAGTGTTTTCATGTACATTACAGTTATCACAACATTAAACAAGTGGTTTTTCTACAGTGGCCAAATTTGTTTGGGTGACCTTTCCATAATATCTTGTATCCTTGTTTTAGACAGTCTACCTTGAGCAGACCTTTTTCTTGATTCTTGGACAAAGTAGTAGAAATAATGATCACAACTCCTTTTTAAAACAGGCTATTTTTTTTTTGAGTTACTTTGCCAAATTCCCTGGCATCTCTGGTGGTGCAGTGGTAAAGAATCCGCCTACCAATTCAGCAGACTCAAGAGACACGGGTTCAGTCCAGGTGGGGAAGAAACCATGGAGAAGGAAATGGCAACCCACTCCAGTATTCCTGCCTAGAAAACTTGATGGATAGTAGAAACTGGCGGGCTACAGTCCATGAGGTTGCAAAGAGTTGGATGCAACTGAGCGTGTGCATGCGTATGTGCATGCATGTGCATACACACCCCCACAGCCACAGATGCACACACATGCCAAATGCTTTAATTGATATGATTTTCCTATTTGAAGTGAGAATAGTGTGTTTTTTTAATCTTTCTATTTCAAAAACATTTCAAATTGAAAAATAGAAATCATAATACAATAAACTTTCATATACTCATCATCTTAGATTCACTAAATTATTAAAACTTTCTGGCATATTTGCTTTATCCTCTCTCTATATACATATATTATTTTCTAATAATAATAATTTTAAATGGCTGAACCATTTGAGAGGAAGTTGCAATCATCATTACTTACCCCTCGTTTTTGCAGGAATATACAGACATTCTCTTATATAACCAAAGTATGATTATCAAATTCAGAACAGGTAACACTGATAGAATGCTATTATCTAAATAATATATAGTATGTATTTCTGATTTTGCCACTTGTCCCAATAATAGTCTTTATACCATCTCCCGTTTCCAGGATTCAGTCCAAGATCATGCATTGCATTTAGTTTTTGTGGTTCTTAAGTCTCCTTTAACCTAGAAGAGTTCCTCAGCCTTTTTTTCTTTTCATGACATTGACATTTTTTAAGAATACAGGCCAGTTGTTTTGTAGACTTTTCCTCATTGTGAGTTTGTCTAATTGTTTAGTTATCCAGGTTAACTAAATAAACATTCTGATGTGTTTAATGAGATATTTTCATAACCTTTTAGAAAATTAGAGTGATTATCAGGCATCTGGCATGCATAAAAAGTCGAAGGGCAGTCTCTTAAAATGTATTTGGCACAGTAAATACTTCATGATGATATAGCTTTTCTGTCCCAGCCAGTAGCTGGCATTAGAGTGTAAGTGGATAGCTCAGAAATACTTCTGTGGGACCAGGGAAATATCTATTCAATTCTAGTGTGGATGAAGAAACTGTTACCCTGGGGTAATAACTGTATAAAAATGGTTTATGTTAAGATCATGATAAAGTTATTCTAACTTTTAGTAACGAAGATGAAAAAGAAGAAGAAAGTAGTGAAGAGGAAGATGAAGATAAGCGACGTCTCAATGACGAATTATTAGGAAAAGTTGTAAGTGTGGTATCTACATCTGAGAAGAGTGAATGGTATCCTGCTTTGGTAAGTATAGTTTTTTTGCAAGTTAGTTAACCTCTTAAAATATTTGTTTAACATGGATTTTTAGAAACTATTTAAAATATTTTGAGAGTGTTAGACACATTTAGTTTGGACTTCCTTGCAAAATTAAGCATTCCTCCTCCAGTCCCATGTACTTCACTGTCTTCTTTTGTTATTATCTTTCTTTAATTCTCTATAACCAAATATTTATTGGGGTCTTTCAGTTTTTCCTTCAAAATGTCCAGTGGTCTCTTTTTTACTCCGTTCCCATTACTTTTTTTTACCTGATATATACTGCTTACCTCCAGCATTGCTTAACTTGATGCCTGAATGCCTTCTTCACTAAATACAAACTAATTTTCTAGAAGTAACTTTTTTTAGAGAAATTTTACAATACTGGTTATTCATGATAGCCCCATTCTCAAAAAAAAAGAACCCTACACTGACTTCCATTAGGATCAGTTTTGCATTCTTTAGATGGACATCTGAGGTCATCCCTAGTTATTAGTTTGTTTCCCATTTTCACTGTAAGCTGTCTACTTAAGGCTCTTTCTTAACTGCTCTCTGTATAAGACCCTTCACTCCTCCAGTCCTTTACCCCTTAAGTTGATTGGTATTTACTGAGGATTTGCAGTGAGTTCAGCTTTTCTTTAAGCACCTTAGAAAATAAAGATGTATGAGACTTGTAATGCATTGGCCCTCATGAAGTTTACTCTACACATCTTAAAGGTAATGTTGTAGTTAAATATTATATAGTAATTTTTAAAACTTGATGTAGACAAGAGAATAGGACAAAGAGTATTAGGGAAAGGAAGGCTACACCTTGGCTTTAGAAATGGCAAATCTTGGGTAGGTTGGTAGAGAAAACTAATCTTTGCTTACTTGGGGAAGGAATGAGAAGGTATGGGCAAGAGAATTACTTCACAAGAAGAATCAATAAACTTGGTAATACCTATCTCCTGTTTCTCCTCTTCCTTCTCCTCTCCTCTTAAATATGTCTCAAGGTTCAGCTCAAGTCCTAACCTTTTCTGCAGATTCTCTTCTAACTACTTCAACATAAGTATGCTCCCTTCTTCTCTGTGTTTTGATATCACTTATATATCTAATAATAATTTTTGCATAAAATATGTCCCAGATTAGATTAGACTCCTTTAAGAAACTGAGGGCTTTTTTTTTTTTTTTTTTAGGTTTCTATGTGTATGTAAATACATGACTCACTTCCTATGTATTACATTTACTTTATATAGGAAAAGTCTGAAAGTCCTTTGAACCTTTCAGTTGTACAGGCTGACAAGTAAATGGACTCGGATTCAGAATACTCAGATCATAATTTGCCAAGAGATTAAAAAAAAATAATAAATGCCATTACTCAACAGGCTTATCATTTCTGAAGTGAAAAAAGATAAGTAAGAGTCAGTCTTACAGTTGATGATTTTAGTATAATGCAAGGATAATCCAAGTAACTGTAATATAAGATAGTTTGCATTCAATATTAGGACTTCTTGTCCCGAGACCTTGCATTTATTTGAAAGAAAAAAAAAAAGAAGTCTTCATGAAGCTGGTGCTTTTGAGCTGAGACTTGAAGGATTTAAAGTTAGTCAGCAGAAAACTTCACTAGAGGATTTTCTTAGAAGAAGCAGAATAAGAAATAACAAGAAAGAAGGGGTTTCTTCACAAAACTGTGCTCTGGGAATCCATTTTGGCTAAATATTAGACGTGAATGGGGCATAATAGGAAATGAGACTGGGAAGATAATTTGGATCAAGGGCAGAAGATAATTTGGATCTTCCTCCTAGTTGTTTTTATTTTATCTTATGCCTAGTGTCCTGCCTAGTGTTCCTCTCCTCGGTTATATTTTTGTGTATCTTTTTGTATTTACCCCTCCATTTCAGTGTTAGCTCCTTGAAAGCTGACTATAGTATTAGTCTAATAATTTCCAACACCAAACAAAGAAACATTTAATACCATCTGATATTAAGACAGCTGATATACCTTCCAAGACTTTTTAATTGTCTGGAGATTGTTTAATGTGATAGCCATGAGTCCTATATGACTATTTAAGTTTAAACTGTTAACTAAATGAATATTAAATAGAATAAAAACTTGAGTCTCTCAGCTGTACTGGCCACATTTAAGGTGCTCACCCCCATGTGATTCATTGCTTCTGTATTGGTCAGTGTAGACAGAGAACATTTCCATCTTATATAACGTTTTCTGGTTGGTGCTAGGTCACAGAGGGGCTAATGTTGAGCAGGTACATTTCAGCAATTTATTAGACTTTAATTTTTTTTAATACTAAGCTGTAGGAAAATAGATTGGTTAGTTACTAATGTTAAGACATTTGTTATTTTTAAATGTTAAAAACTTTGAAAGTTCATTACTCAGATTTTCTCTGATCTGTTGAATTACTAAAAATTGTGCATTCCTTGGTAAGAATGGGAACTTAGGTGCTTATTTTAAACAGCCAGATTTTAAAATAGATCTGATTCAAATTTATTTTAAAAAATTAACAATATGCCTTATTTTCATTATAGCTCATACATTCTGTGTTTTAAACAATAAATGAATTATTATTTGGCTTAGAATAAATCCTAATATTTTTAAAGTGGTCACATTATGATTTATATTTCATTAATTATTCATTTTATAATATAATGGCTGGGTAAATTAAATACATCAGTTCAGTTCAGTTGCTCAGTCATGTCCAACTCTCTGCAACCCCATGGACTGCGGCATGCCAGGCCTCCCTGTCTATCACCATCTCCTGGAGTTTACTCAAACTCATGTCTATGGAGGCAGTGATGCCATCCAACCATCTCATCCTCTGTCGTCCCCTTCTCCTCCCGCCTTCAATTTTTCCCAGCATCAGGGTCTTTTCAAATGAGTCAGTTCTTCGCAACAGGTGGCCAAAGTATTGGAGTTTCAGCTTCAACATCAGTCCTTCCCTTGAATACTCAGGACTGATTTCCCTTAGGATGGACTGGTAATTAATTAATTATTTAATTAGTATAAATTAAATATATAGAAAACCAATATGCTAAAGAAAACTTACAAATTGATAGTGTATAAGTAATTTATTATTAACATTGTGCATATTTCTTGTCAAATACGATCCTTTTAAAAAGTTAGGGCATCCAGGATTATTATTTTAGAAAATACATTCTTTCTTTGAGCAGAGAAAATAATGGTGAATATGTGCTTATTTTATATTTCAGGTAATATCTCCCAGTTGTAATGATGATATCACAGTGAAAAAAGACCAGTGTTTAATTCGGTCATTTATCGATTCTAAATTGTGAGTAATGAATAACTTTAATAGTGTTACATTGGGAGGAAAAAAATGAAAACCAGGACTTTATTTCTGAAAGTTTAATCATTTTATGAACCTGAGATGTTATTACCTAAAATCTTTTCATTTTTTATAATGTAGGTTATTTTTTACTTGAAATTTTTATATAAAACTGAATAATATGTAAGAATATTTTTAAAGTTTTTAAATGAAGTATAGTATTGATTTTATCCCTAATTATAAGAATTTTATATTTTTATCATGTGTACCATTTCATATTATGAAAAATGACATTTACTTTTAATGGGATTTATATTACTAGAATAATTATTTTGACTTTTTTCTGATTAAAAGTCATATTTTGAACTCCAGTAAAATTTAATTTAAAAAAAAGTCAGATTTTTTAGAAGCCTTCCTTAACCTCAACTTTGCTTTTTTTCTAAAAAACTGTAGAATTATCTGTTTATTGAGTTGTGATTCTCTGTGAAAAATTTGATACCATAATGTATTTTACAAAGATAAAATATTTTAATATTACCTTCTATTGAATTTTTCTTACTAAATGGCATAGTAAATTTGAGAAATATGAAAGATCAAAATAGTATAAGGAAGGGCACCCCATTCTGTGTGCAAGAAGTTTGCATAAATAGAAATATTACAAATGTGAGACTCTCAAATTAGTGTACTTTGATATGTGCATCTTTAGAATTAAGATACTAGCTTTGCTTATATTACCTCTTGCCATTTTTTTTAAGAATTAGGATATACATGGTCTTTATAATTTATAGGTAAAGTGATTTTGATTTTGAGATTTATATTTTTAGGTGTTAACATGACTATTTAAGTGATAATTCTTATTTAATAATGGTTTCCCTCCCATTTATTCTTCTCTATAATTAGTTATTCTATAGCAAGAAAGGATATCAAGGAAGTAGACCTTCTCAATCTGCCTGAATCTGAGCTCTCTGCTAAACCAGGTAAAATAAGGATGACTCAGTCTATTATTTCATGGTATGACACTCTAAATGGCAAATTTAGTGACTAAAACAAGACAGTATTTTCTGGCACCATTTGAGCTGTTTGAGTTGATATCTGTTCTTCTTTGATGCCTTTTTTAGTGTCTAGATAAAGCATTTGACCTGTAATACTTTTTGTGTTTTACCATGAACATTTCTGACAGTATTCGCTAGAGAAAAACATTAACATAATACTGTAACTTATGAAATACATTTAGATTTACTGTATCATTTTAGAAGTAATATCTGAATTTGAATCCAAATCTTCTGACTCTGAATGTCTTGGCTTTGTATTCTATGCTGCTAATTGCATAACAAATGCTGAAATACATTTTTACTTTTAGGGCTGCAGAAAGCAAGCATCTTCTTAAAAACTAGAGTTGTTCCTGATAATTGGAAAATGGATATAAGTGAAATCCTTGAATCATCCAGTAGTGATGATGAAGATGGCCCAGCTGAAGAAAATGATGAAGAGAAGGAAAAGGAGGCCAAAAAGGAAGAAGAAGAGATGGTAGGTGAAATTTCTTGTTTGTAACATATAGAAACAGTTTAATACTCTATAAAAATAATACCTTCCTATATTTTCCCTGTGGTTAGACTGTTTATTTCTTGCTGTCGTTTTCTAGCTCAGCTTTATTTGGAGGAGGAGGATCTTTATGGCTTTCAGTTTAGTAGGCAAATCAGAGCTGATTTCTAGTGGGTAAGAGATTACAGGGGCTTCCCAGGTGGCGCTAGTAGTAAAGAACCTGCCTGCCAATGCAGGAGACAAGAGACATGGGTTCAATCCCTGGGTCAGGAAGATCCCCTGGGGAAGGGCACGGCAACCCACTCCAGTATTCTTGCCTAGAGAATCCCATGGACAGAGGAGCCTAGAAGGCTACAGTCTAGTCCATAGCGTCACACAGAGTTGGACACAACTGAAGCGACTTAACAGACACACAAGGGGTTATACAGAAGAACTTTTCAGGTTAAATGAGCAACAAGTGCATTTATTAACATCTTTTCCAAATAACCAAGGAGGAAGACAATGTAACTTTTAGGTATATTCCATGTATTAGTTAACTCATTTAAATTACTGCTAGATGGAGTAACTGTTACTATTCTACTTTAAAGAGAAAAATGAGAGTCAGAAAGGTTAAGTAACTTTCCCAAGATGGCAAAGCTCAAATGTGGAGAACAGAGATTTGAACCCAGGTCTGGTTTGTCTGAACTTTGAAATCCAACTCTTTTAGACATTTCACAGTATTTCAAGGATAATGGGGATTAAAAGAATCTTATCTAAACTGAAAGAGTATTTTGTTTGGCAGTTGGATAAATAATAGAGAAGATTTAGATTCTGTTTTATAAGTGTTAATGGTTTTCTTTGTAATATCACTGTGTTCTTGAGAATGTATATGTAATTGTAGGAAATCATTCATGAAGCTCCACATAATTGCTTACATGAATATTGCTGTCTATTTGTTCAGCAGTGTTTTGCTAAGTGGTATAAACTTCAGTATATTTTTGGCTATTTTGAGGTAAAGGGGCTTGTGGCAGACAAAGAGAATGAGTTTACTGAAAAAGAAGACCTATTTGAGCATCAAAAATATTTGCTTGGAAAATGTGGAGTGCTCGTTTCTTTTTAGCATACACAAATATGAATTTATAAAGCAAAATGAGTATACTTGTGTGTGATACAGGGTATACGGTATTCCTTTCCTTTTACTTCCCCTGCAGTATTTGGGTTTTTGCACTCTGAAATCAGAATGGCGGTTCATACTTACAGGCTGCCTACAGAGTTGCCATAGTAACGTGCTGTTGGTTTTAAGTGAGCATGCTCGGAAAGACAGGAAGGTTTTGCAGAGGCTTGGCAGGTTGCCAATGGAGGTTTGCCAGATGCTTTGAAATGGGCTGTCTTTCTTTTCCTTTCATGTAATGTCTGATTTTTATGTGGAAGAGAATGTAAGTAGTGCTGTATAACCCTGCGGATGCTATGCCCTAAGAGGGAAAGCAAATATTTGCAAGTCAGACTGAAAGATGTTCAGACACTGTACTGATTAAGTAGAAGGGGAATCTAACCATTTTGCATGTGAAAGAAAATGCAGCATATAGGTAAGATTTTTTTATATATGTTACCATTTTGATTGCCAAAAATGAGGTTAAATAAGAATTTTTAGGTATTGATGATGTGACTGATATGGTAGGACTCGTAACTAAGCGTAATTGTTTCATGTAAAAGAGACAGTAGGAGTCTATTTTTAGAATATTAGAGGATGAAGGCAATTTTTCTGAAACATAAGATAGATTTTGAAGTGAAAATGATAATGACAGTTTGGCAAAATTCAGGATTTAAAGTCTGAATATTAAATGTGATTTTTGTATTTTTATCTGTATTTATTTATAGATTATATGTTTTCAGGGTAAATAGGCCACATTTTCAGGGTGTGAACTGTTGCAGTCTGGGTTTGCTTTTTTTTTTTTTTAACATTGAAGTTAGGATCTTATATTGCAAAATACTGAAATACATTAGTCTCTTTATTTTTGTTAATACTTTTAATTGGTATCCCTTTCAAAATGCATTTTCCCTACTCCCTCCCTGCCCCCCCCAAAAAAAACCCTGAAATTTTAAACAAAGAGCTTTAAAAAGGCTTTGTAGTAAGGTTAAAGATGATGGCCATAAAATAGTAAGTAGTAAATAGTGCTCTTAATATAGCTATTAATTTCATAAAGGTCATAATGTTTTATTTAAGCTGTGAGTGAATGTTAGTAAAAAAGACTGAAGAGCATAGGCAGGCTACCTATTGTTTGCAGGTAGTAAGTAAAGAAATTTTAAAAGGTAAGGACCTTTGTAAGGAGAATGTCTTCTTAAAATCTATTACTTAAATTATGAACCTGTTAAAATTAAATGAACCAAGATGCTTTTCATCTACTAAAAAAAAAAAGCAAAATCACAAAATGTGGTCACTATTATTTAAAACTATTTTTCATATTTTAATTTTTTTAGCATATGCTTTATTGTATTGCCTAATGAAACTAATTTCTTCATTTTCTGTGGCTATACAAGTAGATTTTCTTGTGAGGTTTTGGTTGCTTTGGAAAAAAAAATCAGCTGCATTTCATGCTCTTGGATTTAAGATTTGGATGCTGAATCATTCTAACCTGTCTTGAACAGTAATTTTTAAAATTTGATGTATTGTAAAACTGAATAGCATTTTAACCTGTATTTAGCAAAGGAAAAAAATGGGTATGGTATAAAAGGGAATTAAAATCTGATAAGCCAGGGCCTACCTGGCTTAGTCATTATAGGCCTTTACTACATGAGTGAGGCTAGGCTGTTATATTACATTATATTATATTTCATTCTTCCAAAATGTAGTTATACTATGCTTTTCATGAAGATTTAATATTGCTTTACAATGATTAAAAAAAGAGCTTTTATAACCACTATAACAGTACTTTAGCCTGCCATTTGCTGTTTGTGAATTTTATGCAGTAGAATCAAACAAGTGTTAGACACTTCTGCAGTGCTAATGGGCAGTGGACATTGTTTTTATATTTGATACTTCAAGTACCCTGACATAGTCTTAATAAGGAAATGTGAGATTTACCATGGAGGAGCGTCTTTTTTACTTAATATTATTTTGAATTTCTGAGCATTAGTGGTTTAGGATTTGAGTACAAGATACATATTTCATACTGTTACTGAGTAGGAAGAGACTTGAGAGTCTGATAAGAAGTTAGTTTCTATCTATATTGATGGCTTTAACTTACTGATAATTATATTGAAAAAGATTCTGGAGACTATTTTTGTGGGTATTACTAAAATGTCTTTTGTTAAGACATTTTTATATTAGAAAAGATATTACTGAATTTCCTGTTTTGAATTTTGAAACTGAAAAGTCAGTGTAAACATAAACAATGATATCAGGTATTCATTTACTCCTGACTTATATTCACTTTGGATCAATGTAGGACAGTTGTCTAAGAATAAAATAAATAGGTGATTGTTTAGAAGACTGAATTTGTCTAGTCTTATCTCTGTTATCCTTTTGATTTGCTATAGGTAGGCCTTATATGTTAGAACCTCCCAAAAATCTTCTCTGCTTTCATACTTAGTAATGAAAATTTGAATTTAGTGAATTTTTATATAAATTGCTCTTTTTTGTTTAGAAGTATTGATACACATTTTTCCAATTGTTGAATTTCTAAAAATCAGTTACTTTTAATTCCTAGGATTATGTTACATTATTATAAAAACCATAAGTGCCTGATTTTTTTAATTCATGGAAATTTGAATACTTAAGTGTTATTTGTGTGTGTTTATGCCCTTTTTAGATCAACCGTAAAGGCATTTGTTAGTGATCATTCGCGATCACTTTAGGTATAAACCTACAGTAAATGCTTGATAACTCAGAAAAATACTGTTAAATCAATAAAATTGATAGAAAAACTTAAAGGTAATGTTACTATTTTAGGTATATCTCATAACTTCAGCTGTCAACTAAGTATTTCTAAGCAAGTCTTATAAAGCCAACTTTCAATAAATAAGTGAAATTTTAGCTTGCATTCAAATAGAACTTATTTGCTAAAGTTTAGCCTATTAAATGAGCAAGCAAAAGTGACCTAATGTATTTAACAAAACCTTTTTTTCACAGTGTTAGTATAAAACTATAACCAAATTAGAATCACCTAATCAGATTAATGAGGATTGCAAATTTGTACACACAAATACTGCTATATCTTTATGCATTTATAGAAAAATGTGTCTTATAGTTACGGTAGTATAACTGACTTTAAAGCCTGAGATTTAATAGCATCTGAACCACAGCTTGATGACTGAAAGTAAGATAAATGAACCCTTTCAAATGGGGTGGGGGAAATTACTAATTTGTTATAGGCAAGTGGTTGTTCAACTGTTTTCTGAAATTATGAAATAGTGTTTTACTACATAATGAATGTATCATGCATGATATGTGGTTTTTGAAATTTTCTATGTAAGTGTACCTTACAGAGAAGAATGATACGACTGGAAATTTTATCATTAACAAATTTCCTTGGGCCTTCAACACTGTTAGTCAGTTCTCGGTTTCTATAATCCTTATCTCCTGTATGCCAACAACCCTACCCCTACTCCAGTCACTTAGGAAAGAGATTAGGAACTTCACATTGGGAGCCAGCTCTAAACCATGCCTGCCTGCTCTTCTTTACTTAATGTACAGTTAATAATATGTTGTCCTCTTCTATAAGATGAGTCCCTCTTTTTATGCTCTGGATCTCATTCCCTTCCTTGTCTTAGACTGTGATGTATCCCTTTTCTTCTCAGCATCTTTTATGTATTCCTTTCTGTTGTATTCTTCTTATCAGCCTTTTAAAACATGCTTACATCTCTTCCAGCCTTCTGGAAACTGCCCAGACTCCTTCCACCAACCCCTCCACCTTATGGCCAGATTGCTCAGAGTTATATGCCCTGTTCTGTTTTCCTGTAGTGCCTCTTGTACTTCATCACACCTAAAACAACTTTATTGAGGTCACTAGTGACCTCCAACAAATTTTTGTGCCAAGTTCAACAAATTTTTGTGCTAAGTCCAACAAATTTTTGTCATAATTTCATTAGAGTCCTTAGTAGTATTCAGCATCTTTGACTTGCCTGCCTTCTTAAATCACCTGACATACACGATGCTACAGTTTTTTCTTGTTTTGTTGTTCATTGTTGTTCACTTGTTAAGTCGTGTTCCACTCTGTGACACCATGGACTGCAGCACGCCAGGCTCCTCTGTCCTTCACTACGTATGGAGTTTGCTTAAATTCTTTGATTTCTAGTTTACTTCCTAACTAATGATGTATTGACTCCAAATCTTTATGTGCATCAAAGATGTCTCATGTCCTTTTTAAAATTAATTTTTATTGGAATATAGTTGCTTTACAATGTTATATTAGTTTCTGCCTTTTATATCTCTTCTTAGCTCCAGACATTTCTATTAAACTTTCACTGAGGATTTCTTCATATTTTGTAAGTCCTCAGACTCAATATGTGCCAGACTGCACTCATCTTTTCCCCAGAATCTGTCCTTTCCCTCTTTGTTCCTAATTCATTTGAATGGAAGCACCATTCACCCAATTACTCAAGCTAAATAAATGAAAGTCACCTTAATCTTCTCACTCTTGCCTTTTTCTAGTCTGTCACCCTAGTCCAAACCACTCTCCTCTTGCACCTAGCTAGACTGCTACAACAGCAACTTCTTTGCACATCTGTCCCTGCTTTCCCTACTCCAGTCTATTCTCTGCTGCGTTGAAGTGGGTTTTTTTAAACTAAGAATATAAAAACGTGATTCCTCTTGGAATAAGTTAATTTTAGGGTACAAAATAGTAAAACTAAATGGCAGTCATTGATGGTAAAATTGTGACTAAAATTAACTTGTCTTTAACCTCATGGAACTTACTGAGTATTTTAACACATTGAAACCTGGAGGAGTACAGACAAACTCGGCATTAGCACCTCTTTCTCACTCTCCCACGTGCTCTCTTTTTCTTTCAGGGGGAGGGGTCATCTTTCCATCATCAGGTGGCAAGACTAATTCAGGCATTGATTCTCCTCATTGTGGAGTGTGACAGTAGCTCCCCTTTCCGTTCCAATCCATCAAACTTATTCTTGGCAGAGAACTTTTAAAATATAACTCTGACATAATTCTTATTTAGCTCTCTCAAACCTCATATCTATGCACAGTGTCCAATTCTGATTCTCTCGTATATCATCTAACAAACCATATCATGACGTGTCACATTTTGTTGAATTGACTGGTTTTATATTTCTCCACCTCCTGCCAGGCTTGAGGCCCAAAAGTGGAAGGCCGAAAGTGCCTTCTCATTTTAATTGTGGTAGAAGTCTGTGATTCATCATGATCAAAAATGTTTGAGCTGTATTTGAAAACATACTATCCAAAGTTAGAAATTTCATAAAATAATAGTAGATAGGGTGTCCCTGATGGCTCAGCAGTAAAGAATCCACCTGTAGTGTGAGAGATGACAGTCTGATCCCTGGGTTGGGAAGATATCCTGGAGGAGGAAATGGTAGCCTGCTCCAGTATTCTTGCCTGAAAAATCCCATAGAGAGTAGCCTGGCGGACTACAGTCCAAAAGGTCACTAAGAGATGGACACAACTGAGTGACTGAGCGCACAGATAGATACACAGCCACCTGTAATATTAGGTAGTGTCTGTTGCTACTAACTAAAATTGTAAGTTTCTGGAAATTATGATCATATTCATGCCTCTTCTATATCCTTAACTCTTTTTTGCTGACATTTTACTGGATGCTTTACATGTTAGCTAAATGTTAGTTAGCTTTACATGTTTGGCTAAATGAAGGGAAGAAGGCTCATCAGCAGTCTAGTGTAGTCTACCTCCCATTATTACAACTCCAACTCCAAAACCCTTGAGGGATGCACACCCTCTGGCTCCTGACCAGGAGATAGACCCTGTAGGTGTGAGAATACTGTGAGCAGAGAAGGCACACTGTGATAGCAAATACAAGCCCTAATATTCTAGTCCCAAAGGCAGAGTCTTCTAGTTGGAGACATTGTTTGTCTACCATATGCAGTTTTACTCCAAGGTGACTAACAAGATAGCTAATTTTTATTTATTTTTTTTTTGATAGCTAATTTTTAAAAAGTGATTGTGTAAGAATTACTTAATAAATTAAGCAATTTTGATTTTTGCAGAGACCCATCAGATAAATTTAAAACTTTGTTTATAGCCTCATCTTATATATATATATATATTTTTTCATCTTATATTTTTTAATTGAAATAAAATTTCTCTCAGGCAGTTGCTTTTAAGTTAAATTCTTTATTGATTTATATATTGTTTTTACACCTGATGACTGCATTCTGAACTTAACAGTTTTAGGGACATGGTTTCTCATAGACATAAAGCACTCTTGATATTCACTAACTTTTAATTCCAAAGAATTTAAATTATTGATTTTTTATCTATAAAGCTATATTCTTCAGCATTAAAGATTTATCAGATGTTTGGTAAAACCTTAATAAATGTCAAATTTGCATTTGATGGGTTCATTTTATTTACTTGCTTTTAGAAGAACTGGTTTCAAATCAGTGTCTTTTTTTAAAAAAGTTTTTGCTTTTTACATGTACTAGATACAACAGTGTTCTTTAAATTCTGTAAGATGATAAATACTAAAAATGAGGTATTAGTCTGAGGAAAGACTGTTAGGATTATGAGGCAAAGCATAGAGCCAGTCTGGTATAAGTTGTTTTTGTTTTTCCCCGTACCAGAATTCCTTAAAATTCATATCTGAAATAATTCATAGGCTGCCAGATTACTCATTTGAGTTAACTCATTGGCAGTTGTTTTAATAACCTTGCAAAGGGGGCTTCCCTGGTGCTTAGTGGTGAAGAGTCCATCTGCCAATGCAGCAGACATGGGTCCAGTGCATGATCCAGGAAGATCCCACATACTGTGGAGCAACTAAGCCTGTACCCCACAAGTACTGAGAGTTTCGTGCTCCGGAGCCTGGGAGCCCCAACTGCTGAGCCCACGTGCCACGGCTGCTGAAGCCCGTGCGCCCTAGGACCCATGCTCCGCAGCAGTAGAGGTCACTGCAATGAGAAGCTCGTGCACTGCAGCGAGAGTAGGCCCCACTTGCTGCAACTAACTGTGTAGCAACAAAAACTTAGCACAGCCAAAGATAAATAAATTTTTAAAAAAATTGCAAAAGCAAAATTTTTAAATTCACTTGGGGAAAAATTGCCACCTATTTATTAGTTTGAGCATTTAGTGTAGTAAACACCTTTGTTAACTCTGTAGTGATTATAAAGTCTGTATATTGCTAATTTTTGAGGCTTACTAGAACTTTGGCTTAAGTTTCTTTATATTTTACTAAAGTGAAACTACTCCAATGTTAGAAATCATTCTTAATGTAATAAAAGTAAAAACACTATTGTACTAAAAGATCTTACTCCCTTTCCCTTGATTGCCTGATACTTTTTAAAAATTATATATTTTAATTGACCTAGATAGCATCATTTTTTAAAATATATTTTAATCAACTACATATTTATTGATCTTGTATTATCAGATATTAAATTATCAGCTATTATCAGCTATTAAAATTTTTTTGAAAATACATGACTTTAACGGGCTTATTACTCTCTGAACTTGTGAGCTCTCAATGTTTATTGCTTAACCGTGCCTTTGCTTTGAGTATGGCTTTGAATTCTTTTGGAACACAAAAATAGTGGTACTCTGAAATTAAATTATGATGTTTTATATGGAAGAAATATATATATCCATATTTTCTTTGTTTCTCCATAGTATTGTTAAACTTCAAGAATTTCCCCAAATATCAGTTTTTAAGTAGTCTATCAGAAAGGGAAATATTTTATTAAATCCCATAATCCATTTGTCTGTATAAGAAGAAATTATTAGGTTTCTATAATTAGTAAAACATAACAAATAAGTATTTGTAGGAATAGTTGTTTCTGCATGAATGTTTCCATTCGTTTTTCTTTTTTTTCCATAGAGCTAAATTTTAGTTATGTATTTAGTTTTCTTCCCTAAGAAATAATGTTCATTGTTCTATTTTAAGGGGTCGCAAAGTCAATTACAGAGGCCATGCATGAGAGACAAATGAGAAAAGCAGGCTACTGTGAAGCAAGAGGGACTGGTGGAGTCTGAGACAAAATAAAATTTATGTGGCTCATTTAAGTTTCTTTAAAACATTGTGCTATCCAAACAAATAACCTTTTCCATGTGACTTTTCAGCCTCTAGTTTATAATCATTCAACAGTAACAAAATTTTAATGTATGTGGATTACTTGAAAGTAACATGTTTGTAATTATTATGCTCATCTATCAATATATTCACTAGGAACACATGGTATTTTGAGGATTTTAAATTTTTTTATTTTTTATTTTTTTGAGGATTAAAAAAAAAAAAAGAGGTAAAAACACTCTCACTTCATTCCAGAACCTTTTCCGAATGGCTAACCTTAGTCCCCATGGTGATAACTGAAGGGAAGTTTCAAGTGATAGATTGGGTAAAGAGTAGAGACTGTGTATCTTGACAGTTGCGTCAAACTAGCTATAATCAAAGTATGAATTAAAATCTGACATTTTGAAAAAAATTCATATTTTCTGGGTTCAGTAAAATTTGGGGTTCACAAAACAAAAAATAAAAAAGAGGACAGTATATCCTCCTTCTATTCATTGTTCAGTATATTTATGCTTTACCTTTGCAGCCTGAGGAAGAACCTGATCCTGAAGAGAGGGACAACTTCCTCCAACAGCTTTATAAGTTTATGGAAGACAGAGGTATTTTCATGCTTATTATTTAAAAATAGACATTTCTAGGAATTCCCTGATAGTCCAATGTTTAGGACATGGTGCTTTCGCTGTCATGGGCCCAAGTTCAGTCCCTGATCTGGGAACTAGTGCAGCATCATGTCCCCCCCAACCCAAAAGGTAGACTTTTTTTTTTTTTTTTTAACTGTTTTATGTTCTTTGTTTATATATCATTTTTGCTTAAAGCATGGGTATATGGATTTGTATTTCAAGCCTAAGAATCAATTATAGCTGATAATAATAATTAAGTATTGGAAATAAAGACATCTACTTTATTACTACTACTACTGTTAGTACTATTAGTATCTATTTTGAGTACAAATAGATACTACAACTACTAATATCTATTTTGAGTACAAATGTAGAGGAAAAGTAGTTGTGATATAGTTAAATTTTATCTCCTTGAGACTTATAAAACCAGAAAATACTATAATAATAATTGAGTAATAGAAAGTGAACAATCATAATGTAAATCTACATACCCATTCTTTACTAATGCTGTTTTTGTGGCAAGTAAACTAGTTTGATCCTTGGTCTCAACAAATTAAACATAATGGATTAGCTCCTATCTAAATAGAGTAGGATTTCTAATAAAGTTAGAAGAAATAGAGCCTTTATAAATCATAGTTCTTGACATTACATCAGTCCTTGGAAATCCTCAGATACACTGGTCCTAGACATTTTGTGGCCTTCAGAAATGATCCTTCAGATTACTACCAACAGTCTTAACATTTGTGTTAAAGCAGTAAAAATGAAACCATGGCCTAAAATGTGCCCTTTTCATTGTGTGTGTTTTTGCCCAGGCTTCTTGAAGCAGCAGCATTATTGGCTACACCTTGCAGGCCAAAGGTTTGATTCAGTTTTATCCAAATTCAGTGGCAGTTAGAGAGGTGATTTTACTAGTTCTGGAAGTATAATAAATCTAAAGATCACCACAATGCTGTATAAAGAATATAGAGAATATTTTGTGTTGTCTTACGTAATTTGAGCATCTTTAAAATATATGCCTCTGATTAATGATATTTGGGAAATTAGAAATTGAGAAGCTTTGTTTTCAACTTGGTATTTTCCATTGAAATTAACATTGTATTTTGGCTCTTCGATATTAAAAAGGTACTCCAATCAACAAACCACCTGTTTTGGGCTATAAAGATCTCAACCTCTTCAAGCTCTTCAGACTCGTTTATCATCAAGGTGGATGTGACAATGTAAGTAAGACTGTAATGAAAATTAAAATTGTCTAGTGTTGCACTGTTATATGTACTTTAGGTAATAAACACATTTTCTTATTGAACATAGAATATTAGCATAAAGATTATTTCCCTTTGCAAACGTTAACAAATAAAAACTTAATTTTCCAGATTGATAGTGGTGCTGTATGGAAGCAAATTTATATGGACCTTGGCATTCCTATTTTGAATTCAGCTGCTTCCTACAATGTAAAAACTGCTTATAGAAAGTAAGTAGTATAGTTTATTCATCAAAGAATACATAATCACAAGGAATATTTTCCATTTAATTTGTTAACAGTTAAATCAGTCAAAGAATATTAGAGTAAGTATATAAAAAGGTTTAGGTTAGTGTATACTGTGATTGAAAGTTATTTCAGTGCAACAAGTCTGCTTTACTCCATTTTTCATGTTTGGATTTTGTTTTCAAAATTAGAGATACAGGCAGTATCTCTAATTGTCTGAAATTACATATTATAGAATTGTATCTTTTATAGTGAGCAGCCTTCATATTAAAACTATGATAGCTGTGTTCCATTATCACAAGCTCAGATTTTTCAAGAAAGAAATTTTATTTTCTGGTCAGTATTTCTACTATCCTACATAAAACACCAAGAAACCAGTAACAGGAAAAGTACTTTGTATTAAAAGGCTTGAGTTTTACTTTTCAAAAAATACTTGTTTAATATATAGTACTCAAGTTAAATATAATGACTAAGATTTCTTAAAATGAAATATTGTTTGTTTAGGTATCTCTATGGTTTTGAGGAGTACTGCCGTTCTGCACATATTCAGTTCAGAACTATTCACCACCATGAACCAAAAGTAAAAGAGGAAAAAAAAGACTTAGAAGAATCCATGGAAGAGGCACCAAAAGTAGATCAAGAAATGCCTTTAGTAGAAGTGAAGAGTGAACCTGAGGAAAATATTGATTCAAACAGTGAAAGTGAAAGAGAAGAAGTAGAATTAAAATCTCCAAGGGTGAGTACTTAATACTAATTTTATGTAGTTTATTTTAAGCGTTATTTTAGTCTTTTTAATACAGGCAATTTCAGATATATACAAAAATACTCTTATGAACCTAGTTTATTTTGTAGTATTTAGTTAGGCTTCAGCCAGGCTAGCCTCATGCCCTTTCTCTAAATATATCACATATTATTTCTTTTACCTTAAAAACCATTCCTTCTCTTGTTATCTGTTTATATCTGTTCAAGCCATTCTCAAGTGAGGTCAGTCTCAAATAGTCACTTCCTTTGAGTCTTTTGCTAACGTGTCACCTCACTGAAGCAAATCCTGGTCAGGCATGTCTGCTCAGTCACTAAGTCTTGTCCAACTCTTTGTGACCCTATGGACTGTAGCCCACAAGGCTTCTCTGTCCTTGGGATTCTCCAGACAAGCATACTAGAATGGGTTGCCATTTCCTCCTCCAGGGTATCTTCCCCACTGAGGGATCAAACCAGCATCTCCTCCTTTGACAGGTGTATTCTTTTACCACTGAGCCACCTGGGAAGCCCCTATCCTGCTCAATCCCTCTAATGTTGCTCTACCTGTAATTTACTTATTTATTCTGTTTATTATTTATTGTTTTTTTTTACTGCACTCTGGACTAGAATCACACTCCACAGCAGCAGGAATTAGTGTTACTCCATTCATTAAGAGATCCCGGGCATCTAGAATAGTGCCTTGCACAAGAACTTACTAGATTGTTGAGTGAATGAATCTCCTGTTTATAATACCTGTGTCCTCAGCCAGGTGGGATCTTTGCTTTTTCTTTACTTCATAATTCACTGTACAGCTCTTGTGGCATTTTCATGCCCTGCCTTCTTTCCTCGTCACATGCATCCTGGTTTTATCTTCTAATTCTGTTCTTCCTCTCCATTAATATATAATTCAAGTCAGGAATTGTCACCCACTGTTTTGATCATTGTCTGATGATGTCTACACAGTAGGATTTATCAAATTTTAGAAGTAGAAAAAAAAAATTTACCACATTGTCAAAGGAGTTCAGTTATTGTAGTAACACATCATATTTTTCAGTGAAATTTTATTGAATAAAAGACAAGGTGAAGTCATCTCTTTCATTTGCTCAGAAACCATTTTTTATTTACTTAGTAAATGGCACTTTCTGGTGAATTTCATGAAACCTCCAGAGTGCTTTGTTTCATTTCTTAATTTTTAAAAATTATGGTAAAGAAACATGACATTTGTCATCTTAACCATTTTTACATGCACAGTTCAGTGGCATTAACTATATTCATATTATTTTATAACCATCACCATCATCTATCTGCAGAACTTTTTTCATCTTGGAAAACTGAAACTGCCTGTTGAACAGTCACTCCTCATTCTTCTCTTCCCCAGCCTCTGGCAACCACCAGTCTACTTAATGTCACTATGAATTTGACTACTCTGGATATCTCATATAAGTGGAATTAGATAGTAATTGTCCTTTTGTGACTGGTTTATCTCATTCAGCAGAAGGTCTTCAAGGTTCCTCCATGTATGGATTAGAATTTCCTTCCTTTTTAAGACTGAATAATACCCCATTGTATGTATTGTGCACATACTTGCCTGTCATTACATAAAGAGATTCCTCATCTTATGTAAAACATCTGCAGAGTGTTGTGTACCATAAATTTACCTTCCTCAAGATTTTCTCCAATTTTTTATGATTACAGAAAGTACTGCAGTAAATATACTTGTAAAAGTGTCCTCCAAATTTATCTAAATATAGAGACTTGTAAAAAGGTCCTCCTTATTTATCTGAATACTTCTAAAATGAAATATCTGAAGACTTGTAAAAATGAGATTTCTGAGACAAAGGTACAAGTGACACAAATTTAAAATTTTTATGGCTAACAAATGCTTTCATTCATTTACCTACAAATTCTTAAAGAGCACCTGCCCATGTGCCAGGCACTGTTTAGATCTGAGGTTATAGAAGTGAGTAAGACAAAGACCCTGCCCTCATGGAACTTAAAGTTCTTTTTTTTTTCCCTAGTGTTGATGTTTAAATAGTACATAGTCAGGAACTAGGCAAAACATTTGTTATACTGAGATAATAATTGTAAATATGTTAGTGCTCCCAAAGTTGTTGGCTCTTTTTTTTCCTTTAATCCTCACTTTATTTCAAGTAGAGGGGAGCTCTGCCAGTGTGCAGAAGTTGACTGGAAGGAGAATTTAGGAGATAAATGAAATGACTCAACAGTTTCCTGGTCAGTTGAGCATGAGGTGGTAACAAATTACTACTGGCCTAGTGAGCTCTCCAGATTCAAAGAAATCAGCTCACTTTTTGGCCATTAATACAGTTCAGTTCTTCTAAAATGTAATAAAATGTAATCACATTGAAATACAGTGATAATGTAAATTTTGTCTTAGTAAATAACAGGGTTAGAGATGAACTTCTGAAAACTTAAGGGACTGATTTATTTTTCTTATTATTAACTTATATCATTGACAGATAATTCTTTAAAAACTTTTATTGTAGTCAATAAATATTAAAACAAGATAAAATAGTGAACACAGGAGAAAATTTTTTTTTATGTAGTATGTAGCCAGGATGATAACAGATTTGGACATAAGTAATTTACATGGGTTGATTTTTTTTGAGAGGAGGTGAAAAGTACACAGGAGTTGACGGGTTATCAGTATCATGTCTCAAGCTAGAAAGACGACTAGTCATTGCCATGATGGTTTAAGAAAAAGATAACATTTTTCTATGTTTTTTTTCCCCTTTGTAGTGATAGTTACTTTAAAACTTTTGTCCTCTCTACTAGGGACGAAGGAGAATTGCTCGGGATGCAAATTCTATTAAAAAGGAAATTGAAGAAGAAAAAACAGAAGACAAATTAAGAGATAATGATACAGAAAATAAGGATGTAGATGATGACTATGAAACTGCAGAGAAGAAGGAAAACGAACTACTGCTGGGGAGAAAAAATACACCAAAGCAAAAGGAGAAGAAAATTAGAAAGCAGGAGGATTCTGACAAAGACTCAGAGGACGAGGAAGAGAAAAGCCAAGAGAGGTACACTATCTTATGTTTGTTCTCCAGAAACCCCTGTCTGGGGTGCAGCAGTGCTCTGTTCCTGCTTAGAGGTTCAGGTTTGAGGGAATGTTTTCTTATTGGGACTTCCATTCCTCTTGTCTGATGAAGGTGAGACACATTGTGAAGATGATGTGTATCGCCTTTCGGAATTGGAGAATATACTGGTCGCACCATTTTAATAGCACTTGTGCCCTAAACAGTGGCCTCAAAGAAGGCTGCGCCACCCAGTCAAAAGAAAGGTCCTGCAGTTGACAGCAGGGAAGGGAGCTGGAGAAAAATGGAGGAAGTGGACAAGAGGAAACAGCGACAGCAAAAATTCCATTTTAAAAAAGGTACAATGTGGGAAAGCTAACAAACACATGGGTGCACAGTACTAGCAGATGTTTCTGTGTGTTAGCTTTATCTAAGACAGTTTTCTTTTCCAAGTTATTGTATTAGAATAAGTGGCATGCACCCCGATTCTAGTTTGGAAAATTCATTCTTGCCCCACATCACATTAAATTTCGGCTTTTTAATGTTCATCCTGTTTGCTGTTGAGTGAAAACTGTTATTTTTTTCATGCATTATACACGTATGGACTGAACTGACTTAAAAATAACCAGAGATTAGGCAGTCCAGCTAGATCATGGTAATGTCCAGCTATGTTTAGTGGCCATTTCTTTGTTGTCAAATGGATTTACTAATTTTTAGACACTACTAAAAAATGAATTTTAACTCAGCAACAGCATAACGCACTTACTTGTGTAGAAGCTCTCCTCCACAGTTATTTTTCAGTGCTAAATTTTCTAGAAATTTGAGTTACTAGGCAAAATTGAGAAAAGTGGCCTGCTGTTTCCAACTAGTGGCTGACACCCATCTGAAAATTAACCGTTGAAAAAATAACTGCAAAAATAGTAATGATTGGTGAGTGGGAGAGGTTATTTTATGATTCAGCATAAATAGGTATAGGAGCATTCACAGTCACATGTGAATTAGAATAGTGAATAAAGAAAGTTCTGTAGTGAAATACGATTAGGATTAGGGAAAGTAGGAGGAAATAATTGGAGTTGAGTATAATGATATAAGTGAAGTAATTCAAATATTTGGACGGTAAATTTAATAAGAAAAGGTAGACTATTTAAAAAGTAAGGCCTAACTATAGTTTGAAGATTTGTTAAAAATAAGCATCAAAATGCATGTGTTTTATAGTATCTATGTCATACACACCATATATATATATGCATATATATATATATATACATACACACCATGTGCTTTAAAAAGCCTTTATAATTGATACGTAAATAGAATTTATTTTAGAGACATAAAGTTTCACAGACTTGAACATGAAGGACAATATTTCCTTTTATTAAATAAAACTGAATATACAAACAGTCTGTATTCTCATTTAATAGCAGGAATCCTAGAAATAGACTTTTTTTTTTAATCTATAGAGACTTCTGTTTTAAGTAGTTTTTCATGGTGTTTTGAAATTACCTTATCAGAATATAATTGGAAGGTGCCCTTGTAAAGAAAACATTCCCACTGCTAATGGGTTGTCAAAGTTTCTTCATGTTGGGTCCCCCAGTGGTCCCTAAAATAATGCCCTATGTTTATGACAGAACATAGGACCTTCTCTTAAGGTTTTTAAAACTCTGACGCTAGAAAGATCTTTGATGCAAATCTCTTCTGAATTTTTGCTGGGCTAATAAAGAATGCTTGTTTAAAAATATTAAAAATACTTGGACCTCCCTATGTGATTCTCCTTTATATATGGTTATCAAAACAAAAACTGATGGGAGATGTTTAAAAACAAATAGGAACCAATGTAAGATATGCAAAACCTTTGTTTTTCTGGTGCTATCCCACAGTGATAACAAGTGATCTAATACCCAGATGTCTATTGTTTCTTTGTGAGGGTGGGGAAACCTTTAAGATATAAACTAGTTTAAAAGAGTTACTAAGGTAGTTAGCCCTTGCTCATTATTTTTCCCACCAAAAAAAGTCTGGGTTAAGCAAAAAGTAGTAGTCAAGTAGACTTAAGATATTTCAGTTGCAGAAAGTTAAAAACTGTCTTTAGGTCATTTTCACATATAAGGTGGCACTTGAATCCTAAAGACTTCTTCAAAGCATGTTGTTCTAATTTTGCTTTATCAAGTGATTTATTTGACTCCACATCACCATTAACTGTGATGACTGACTTGCCTTTAAGAAGTACGGATTTAATTTTGGTACAGTGCACCTTTTCATAATAAATCAGTTCCTTACTAAGTAGTCTATGAAAATCTTCTCCTTCTCCTCCTTCTTCTCCTCCTCCACTGACATGTTATGAAGGTAATAATTAGGTTGTGACTCTTCTACATGTTGGATTCTTTTAGCATATGTTATTTTGTTTTCCATTAAGTTATCAGTAGCATTATCAGTGTTATAACTTACTGCAGGGAAGAAACTGAAAGCAAATGTGACTCTGAAGGGGAGGAAGATGAGGAAGACACAGAACCCTGCCTTACAGGCACCAAAGTGAAAGTAAAATACGGACGAGGGAAAACACAGAAAATCTATGAAGCCAGTATTAAAAGCACTGAAATTGATGATGGAGAAGTTTTATACTTGGTACATTACTATGGATGGAATGTCAGGTAAGCAAGAAATGTATTTTCTTATCTTGAAATTTGTTTTTGGTTCAGAAAGATCACTTTTAATGTTTTGAAGAACTAAAGCAGATAGTATATATGCACTTACAAAGCACACCTTGTACTTGAATTTTCCAGGACTTCTAACATTCTTGCTATTTTAGTTCCCATGTCAGTACTTCAGCCAGAGATCACCAGGATCACATCTGTACCTGGAAAAGTTGGGTTTGCTACTCACTTGCAGTAAGGGAGGACACCTAACTTAGGGAACCACGTGGCATGTGAGTTAGAGGGTGGGTCGTGAAAGCTCAGGGTACCAGCTTTGGGAGTAGCAACAGCTCATGAATCTGTGGAAACATCCTTTAGGGAGCTAGACCCATGGCTTCCAACATTGCAAGTGGTTTTGCTTGTTTACTTGTTTGTTAAATTTGTCAGAAATCAAGCCTGTATGAAGCACTGTAATAGTTCTGAATTGGAAAATTAATAAATAAGAATGTTAGATAAGACATAGATCTGAGCTTCTGTTAGGTGATTTTGGAATGGTTTAGGAAATGGGGCTTTGCTCTAGACTGGGTGCTATCAAGAAGCAGGGGATAATTCTGATTGGTTATATTAATCTTACCTGTAAGAAGGGAAGACTAGACCAAAGTTAATGCTATCTTTGGACTTTCCCCCAATGGCTCAGTGGGTAGAGTCCATCTGCAGTGCAGTAGACACAGGAGATGCAGGTTTGATCCCAGGGCCAGGAATATCCCCTGGAGAAGGAAATGCAACCCACTCCAGTATTCTTGCCTGGAAAATCATGGACAGAGGAGCCTGGCGGGCTGTAGTCCATGGGGGTTGCAAGACTTGGACGCAGTTTAGCAACTAAACCACGCCCGCCCAGCCACCACCACAATGCTGTCGTTGGTGAAGCAGTAGCGGTCACTCAGGGTATAAAGGATGTTCGGTCATTTTTGTGGCTTGGACAGTGTTCCTGTTAGTTGTGTTGAGACACAACTAGGAAATGGTCTTGTTTTTGTCTTAATCCACCGTGGTCATGGAGCAGACCTGTCTGATGTTGATGATCTGTGAAATTGTTTACGTGCAACAGGAGAATAGCACGCCCTAGCTGTGAGGGCCAGGACAGCTCTGTAGCAACAGCAAGGCCCGGCTAATAGTACCAGGCCGGTGGCTGGGTGTCAGGGACTACTTTTCTCTCTATTCTTTAGGAAGTCTTGTGTGTTCACTCTATCTGCTGGCCCTGTAGTTGCTTGGAGCCCAGATGTTCCAGAATTTCCCTACAGACTCAGTTCCATCATCTCTGAGTTGGGAAATCGAATCTCTGTACAGGGATTTTGTGAGAAATAGTGCTGATTATCTATATTAGCATGAAAGTTTATATAGTTACTGCCTGGCACTTGGTTAAGTGCTCAGCAGACGTTAGCTGTTTTCTTTAGTGGAGGTGTGTTTGGCTTCTGTCCTCTCACATCATTTTAAAAAGAGTATGGATTGAATGAATAGCATATAAAACTTTAAAATTTCTTGCAAATCAAAACCACAGTGAGGTACCATCACTCTAGTCAGAATGGCTGCTATCAAACAGTCTACAAGCAATAAATGCTGGAGAGGATGTGGAGAAAAGGAACCCTCTTACGCTGTTGGTGGGAATGCAAACTAGTACCAGCCACTATGGAGAACAGTGTGGAGATTCCTTAAAAAACTGGAAATAGAACTGCCATATGACCCAGCAATCCCACTGCTGGGCATACACACTGAGGAAACCAGAATTGAAAGAGACACATGTACCCCAGTGTGCATCACAGAACTGTTTACCATAGCTAGGACGTGGAAGCAACTTAGATGTTCATTGGCAGAAGAATGGATAAGGAAGTTGTGGTACATATACACCATGGAATATTACTCAGCTATTAAAAAGAACGCATTTGAGTCAGTTCTAATGAGATGGATGAAACTGGAGCCTATTAAACAGAGTGAAGTACGTCAGAAAGAAAAACACCAATACAGTATATTAACACATATATATGGAATTTAGAAAGATGGTAACGACGACCCTATATGTGAGACAGCAAAAGAGACACAGATGTAAAAAACAGTCTTTTCGACTCTGGGAGAAGGTGAGGATGGGATGATTTGAGAGAATAGCATTGAAACATGTATATTACCATATGTGAAATAGATGACCAGTCCAAGTTCAATGCATGAAACAGGATACTCAAAGCCGGTATACTGGGACAACTCAAAGGGATGGGATGGGAGGGGGGTTCGGGATGGGGGGACACATGTACACCCGTGACTGAGTCATGTTGCTATATGGCAAAAACTACCACAATATTGTAAAGTAATTCATCTCCAATTAAAATAATTTTAAAAGTAAAAATTAAAACAAAAAAACTTTAAAATTTCTTTTCTTTTTCCTCAGATCAGTTCCTGTACCCTTCACATTTCTGCCAACACTAAAAACAAACTTTGTTGTCCATCTCTCAGTAGTTTTGTATGTATTGAATTCAGGGTTAAAGACCACACTTAACCTTAACAGACTTCCCTGCTTTGCACATGCAGCCCAATGTAGCCTTCTTTTTTCCTCAGAGTCCATTTAGTTCACAACCATCCGCTTTTACTTATCGTCAGCGTGTCTGTTCTATTTTCTAGAATATCCCCCTCTTAACATCCTTCTCTTTTTATCTTTTTAATTTTTTTACTGTATGACTCTTCTTAACAGTCATTTTATTATATGATCATGTTTGTTCTAAGTGGTTACCTAGCTGGAATTCACATGGTTAATAGTTTTTCATTGGCCTTCCACCCTGCTGGATATTGGGATAATGCATGAGAAGATCATGTTTAAACCATAGTGTAGAGTCATGGTACTGTGTCAGCTGAACTTGTGCCTGTTGGAACAGTGTCCTTCTTTTGCATGGGTTAATGGTGATTGGGTTACAAAGTGAAGGTGTGGTTTGCATCACCAGGGTGGGTTCAAAGCAAGGACTGTGTGGTTTGCATCACCAGGGTGCGGTTCAAAGCAAGGACTGCCTGTAGTTTTTTGTTTGTTTGTTTTTCAGCTCAAATGTTCAGATTTTAGATTTTGGTTCATCTCTATAAATACCTGTAAATATATATTAAGCATATAAATTATAGATAGCTCTATAAATATGTACTTATATAATGTAAAAGCTATTATTTAGTTCTATGAGGTTTAATTTCTTATTTGCCCCTGATTAATAACTTGGACTGGCTATCTTAAAATCTAGAAGTTATATCAGAATTATGGGAAAGGGGAAAATGAGTTTTCAGAATAAACTTAAAATACCTCTAAAAGAAATTTCAGTTTTGGAGGTGTATAGTTCAGAATAAAATATTATTAGAAACACTGGAGTCTAGAGAGTTCTGGGAGGAAAAGAGTTGAAAAGGACTTGATAAAATAATCTAGAACTCATCATACTACAGGTTTGAATTTATCTCACTTGTTTTGCATTATGTGGTTACTAGAATGAATTCCAGTGCAGAATCAGCTTATTTAATTAAGCTCAGATGAGTGGGAGTTGTGGGGAAAAAAGGCAGCTCAAACAGCCTTGAATCTATTTAGTTTGCCTACCCTGCTCTCGCTTGGAAACCTGTCTGCCCTGAGAAGTTCTCTTGCTGTGCCCTCTTGGTGGCAGGTACTCAGAACACCTAGTATAGCACCCGCACACCTACTACCAGCAGACAGCACCTGTGCCCTTCACGTTTCTGTCAACGCTAGAACGTAACCCTCTTCGGTCTGTCTCACTGTTGTTTGTACTTGGTGAATACATTTCAATAAGGTATTCTTGCAAATTTTAAAATGTATTCTTTATTTTAAGGTATGATGAATGGGTAAAGGCTGACAGGATAATCTGGCCATTGGACAAAGGTGGACCAAAGAAAAAACAGAAGAAGAAAGCTAAAGTATGTATACAGGTGCTATATCCTTTAAGATAGATAACAGGAATTGTTCATATTGTATTAAGACTGTGTTTTTTATAAAACTTGTTTTCTCATCTCATCATTTTGAGTCTTTCAAAGTAATGGTGACTTTTCCCCTTACGTCCCAGAAGCTAAAAAGTAAAAACTGTGAACACATTTCCACACTATTTCAGGAAAGGTAAAAACCAGCTTCCCCTAGGGCACAGGCTTCAAATGCAAAAGCTTACAAGGTTCTCTAGAAAAGTGGTAAAGTAGGACTGAGAGTGACAAAGAAGAGGTCATGTCCCTCATCTAGAGAGGATGGAACTAACCACTCTGCTGTGGGATGCAGACTCAGACTTGCCAGATTTTAGATTTTTTTTTTTTCTCTCAAGACACTATATTTTTTAAAAAGTAAAACCTGATTGTTAAATACTGGAAGCTAATACTAAGTTTTAAAGCATACGTTGGCTATATGTTGTATCCTCATCCGCACCCTCAATTTTCAGCCTTTGCTGTAGAGATGATGACGTATCTTTTCTTTTCCTCAGGAAATAGCATGAGACAAGGGGAGAGCTGAGTAGTATATACCTCTCTTATGTGCTGACTCTGACCTTCACAATATAACTGCAGTGTTACCATGTTGAAGTTATAGAACATCATACTCATATAAGTACAAAACATTAGAAAACTATTTAATTTTAATTTTTCCATAACAACAGATTAGGAGTTGATGTAACTAATCTTTTTGAGTTACAGTTTTCCTTGGTGAAGTAGAGTATTTATTTTTCATAAAGATACTATTTCTCATACATTTTATTGTTATAACCTAGAACAAAGAAGACAGTGAAAAGGATGAAAAGAGGGATGAGGAGAGGCAGAAGTCAAAACGGGGACGACCTCCTTTAAAGTCTACTCTTTCGTCTAACATGCCGTATGGTTTGTCTAAGACTGCAAACAGTGACGGAAAATCAGGTACCAGAAGTGCTCGAAGCAATATGCCAGGCAGCTCACCTCTGTCAAATGGAATGGAAGGTGCTCAATTTTGAGGATCATTGATTTTGTTAAAAAAATCAATCATATAAATAATAAAACCAGTTGTGTGAGAGATTCGTAGGAAGTCATCTAGGTTTTTAATACATGATTTAAATTACAAAATTTGATTTGAACAAAATGTTTATTTTGCTGTAACCTACTTATTTAAAATTCAGTGATGTTTTACTTTAATTGGGAATACCTTTTCTTGACAATATCAGAGGAATATTCTATTTTAATAGAGCATGGGTTAACAAGCCATTATGCCGCCCTGTCCTACAGAGCATGCGCTGGTGTCTCCTGTAATCCACTGCTGTTCACCTAGGATCTTTCAATAAATCTGAAACTGTTTTTCAAACTAAAGTGGTAGACACATGTTTTGTGATGAATATAAGTGAACATATTTTATTCTGCTTACTTTTCTACTTTTGTATATTTTTCTAAGTAAGTTAAGAAATGTTAAATATAGAAAATGTTCATATAAGAATTTTCCTCCCTTGAAAACTTTTCTGAACCACAGGGTTGCCATGAATCCACCATGTGGAGCTTTTGTGCAAGTTAGAACGGGCATCTTTACTTCTCTTTACTGCCATCTGCTGGAAGGCTGACATAATACACAAATGCAAGATTTCCACACAGTTGAAAATGCTCCTAGAGGCATGTACATGTACAGCCTACAAAATTATACATTTTCTTGCTAAACTGCTTCATAAAAGTAAAAGTAAAAAACTACCTTTTTAAAAAACATGAGACAAAATTCTAAATTCTGTATATGATAAAACCACAAAATAAAACTACATACTTTTTCACTTAAAAAGTACATTTAAGCTTGCCTTTTTGCACTTTAGAATATGAGCACAATGTGGGAAGAATTTTTGTATTTCACAACTTCTATATCATCTTATAACATTATTTATTATTTAAAAAACTCTCTCTAAAAAAACTCTCTGACTTAAGGAGAATGGTTTCTTTTGCAGAAAGGTAACTGGCCAATACTTTGTTTTCTCTTAATCAGAGGAATTTTTACATTTTTGAGAATTCAAGCTTCTCATTTTTATACATCTTTTCAGAATTAAGTAGAATGTCATACTCCTTCCTAAGGACATAAAATGGGCATTCCAGATTTTAATCTGTACCCTCTCAAATCAAACCACTTCATATGTTAGCTTCATATTTCAGTACTAGTCCTTTGATTTTTCTAAGGGTTACTGTAGCCTAAATATGATACTAGTAAAAATTGGAAAAGAGCTCTTTTACAGAATTGAGACAGTAATATTTTTCTACGTAATATATTTTCACATGGAGTTTTTATTTGAGATCTGCCCTCCCCCATTTTTGGCACAAATATATGGTTTATTTTATATGAGAAATTTCTACAAGGAGGTATTCAGAGGTACATATTAAGAGTTTTGTCTTTGGCAGAATTTTTATTATAAATTACATTGGTAATTAAGTAGAAACTTGTGTAATATTTTCTCTTGCAGACACCTGTTCATCTGATAGTGAAACAGAAGACCTTTTAGAAAAGAATTTGATGAATGAAGAACTTTCTCCTGATATTAAAGAAGAATTAGAAAAAAATGAAAATTTAAATGATGATAAACTAGATGAAGAAAATCCAAAGACTGCTCCACACATATTAAAAGAAAATGATAGGACTCAAATGCAGCCTTTAGAAACCTTAAAGTTAGAAGTTGGAGAGAATGAACAAATAGTACAGATTTTAGGAAATAAAGTGGAGCAAGAAGAAGTTAAGAAAGAAGCAGAAAAATCTCCTAAAGGAAAGGGAAGACGAAGCAAGACAAAAGATCTTTCTTTAGAAATTATAAAAATTTCATCATTTAGCCAGGATGAAGCAGGAACTGAACCTCATACAGATGCTCAGAGTCTAGAATTTTCTTCGTTAGACAGTAAAAACTTTTCTTCTGCTACTGAAGATGAAATTGACCAATGTGCAAAAGAAAAAAAGTTGAAACGAAAGATACTGGGACAGTCATCACCAGAGAAAAGAATAAGAATTGAGAACGGAATGGAAATGACAAATAGCATATCTAGCAATACTCAAGAAAGGACCAGTGATTGCACTGCATCTGAGGGAATGAAAAACTTAAATTTTGAACACTTTGAAATAGAAAATGAAGGAATGCCATCATTAATAGCAGAGCCAAACCAGTGCGTTCAAGAGTTGACTAATGAAAAATTTGATGGCCCAGCAGAAGAAACTGTAAATACTCCGCTAAAGGAAGAAGAGGATGCAATGCCTCTGATTGGGCCAGAAACCTTGGTTTGCCATGAAGTAGATTTGGATGATTTGGATGAAAAGGATAAAACCAGCATTGAGGACGTAGTGGTTGAAAGCTCTGAATCTAACTCTCTCGTTTCTATTCCACCAGCCCTACCTCCTGTAGTACAGCATAACTTTTCAGTAGCTTCACCACTTACTCTCAGCCAAGATGAGTCTCGAAGTATAAAAAGTGAGAGTGACATAACTATTGAAGTTGACAGTATTGCTGAAGAATCTCAAGAAGGTCTCTGTGAGAGGGAATCAGCAAATGGATTTGAAGCCAGTGTTGCTTCTGGTACCTGTAGTATAATTGTCCAGGAAAGAGAGAGCAGAGAGAAGGGTAAGGACTTCCTAGGGAGAAAATCAGTCTTTATGTTAAAATTCAAAATTAGTATGCTAAGAGTTTTAGGAGCTTTGATCTGTTAAGTACCCTTCTTCCCTTCCTTCTTCTGTCCCTCCCTCCTTCCTTCCTTCTCTATTTCTCTTCCTTCCCTCCTGTGTTTCTTCTCTTTTTCCTTCCTTCCTTCCCCCCTCTCCCCCTTTACCCCACCTTTTAAAAAAACATACACATGGGAATTCATGTAGGCAGGAGAATGAACATACTTGCTCTTGATTTTTTTTTTCTAATTCTCTGTTTCCACTTATTTCAGGTCAGAAAAGGCCAAGTGATGGAACTAGTGGATTATTGGCAAAAAAGCAGAAGCGAACCCCAAAGCGAACAAGTGCTGTAGCCAAAAATGAAAAGAATGGAGCAGGTTGGTGCTTTGCAACACTGGCTTTAGTATGGTGTTAGTACTTTGAGCAGTTTTTTGACCTGATAATCTGTGTCAGCTTAAAATTAAATTTGGTTTGTTCTGTTCTGAAAAGTAGCAGTTTTTCCATTAGTTTTTCATCTGAAAATTTGCTTGTCAATTTTATTTAGAGCTGAGATATCTGTGGTTATTTTTTACGCTTATTGAATTTCTTATGTAATGCAGTTTAATATTAGAGGAAAATCTTGAAAAAATAACATAAGAATAGAATAAAAGAAATAGAATTTGAAAAACATAAGAACGTTTTTCAAATACATATGAAAAATAAATTATGTACAATAAAGAATAAAATTAAGCTATGGGATATAGTAGGAAAAAACATGGTTGATTTTGACAAATCACAATTTTACATCCAAAACATGCCTTCATACAAGTCTGAAATGGAAATACTAGATTACAGTAGATACATATTCCAAGGAAGGAGTATATAATTTAAGACAGGGCCTTTCAAAAAAAAATCCTTTGAACCATATTTCAAGTACTCAGTAACCAGATATGGCTAATGGCTGAACAAGACAGGTATAGAGAAAGAGTGATAGGAGATGGACTAGAAAGATAGCAGGAATTACAAAGGGAAAATGAGCAAGTTTACAGTGGATGCATGGACAGACATTACCTTAGTCAAAATGACCACCACCAGTAATGGGGTCAAGTGAAATCATGTACCACCTGACAGAATGCACCATGAAGAATGTAGTGCACATCTGTTATATTCCTGTCAAAGATTTATAACCTGACTGTAATCATGAGGCCCCATCAACAAATTCAAACTGAAGGATACTCTGTAGAATAATTGGCCTATAATTTAAAAAATTGTCAAGGTCAGGAAAGTCAAAGAGGAACCATTCCAGATTGAAGGGGATTTTTGTGATGACTAAATGAGGTATATAATTCTCACCTGGATACTCTTGGTATAAAGAACATTATTAGGTCAAACTAGAGATACTTGTGTTGAGTCTGAGGATTAGACGACAGTAATATACCTGGTTGTTTAGGAGTGTGGTGGATTTAAAAACACATCCACAAATGTGTTGATCTGCTTCTCTTCAAGAGGCAAAGCCCAGTTCCTTCCTCTTGAGTTTGGGCTGTATTTAGTCACTTTCTTTTAACTAGTAAAATAGAGTGGACGTGATGGAGTATGACTTGAAGGTCATAAAAGGCACAACAGATTCTGCTCCACTTTGCTCTGGATCAGTTGCTCTGGGGAAAGCTGGCTGCCATGTTGGGAAGATAATCAGGCAGTACCTACAGAGGCCCACGTGGTGAGGACCCAAGCATACCCTTCCTGCAGCCACAAGAACTGGGGCTTCCTGATGCTCAGAACAGCCATGCGAGTGAGCCATCCTGGAGCATGTCATTCCACTCCAGTCAGGCCTTCAGAGACCAGAGCCTGGGCTAAAAGACTGGCTGCAACCCCACAAGATTCCTGGAGCCAGGCCACAGAGCCAAGATGCTACCAGATTCCCACCCTCAGAAACCATGTGAGATACTAAACATTTGTAGTTTTAAACTGCTAAGTTTTGGCTAATTTGTAGGTAACCAAAACAAGGAGAATGTTCTCATTTGTAAGACATAAACACTATAAGGTACTCAAATATGGCAGGGCAAGTTATCCTCAACTGGCAGAAAAACATTTTTTAGTAACCATTCTTCATCTTCTTTTTAAGTTTGAAAATTGTCTCAAAGTAAAAAGTTAAAAAAGGGAAAACTAAAGGAGATGATCAGTTTTTCTTTTTGGAAAGAATCTTTGACTTAACTGAGGCAGTGAAAGAAGGAATGAATGAAGAGAATTAGGACATAAAATCACTGTGTGTGTGTGTGCTAAGTCGCTTCAGTTGTATCCAACTCTTTGTGACCCCATGGACTGTAGCCTGCCAAGTTCCTCTGTCCACGGGATTCTCCAGGCAAGAATACTGGAGTGGGTTGCATTTCCTCCTCAGGGGATCTTCCTAACACAGGGACCGAACCTGTGTCTCTTGTGTCTCTTGCATTGGTAGGCAGGTTCTTTACCACTAGTGCCACCTGGGAAACCCAAGAATACGGGAGTGTGTAGCCATTTCTTTCTCCAGGGGATCTTCCTGACGCAAGGTCAAACCCGGGTCTCCATTACGGGCAGATTCTTTACCATTTAAGCCACCAGGGAAGCCCATAAAATCACTCGGACTCCATTATTAGTAGTATGATATGAGGAACTGATTAACTAACATGGCATACAGGAGTAGCAGCAGATTGTTGGAAGAGTAATTTAGGGAATGTTGTATTAGAGGTACCAAATATTAGGGAAATAAGGCTCTGGAGCTTCGAAAAGATAGTTGTTGAAGGATTACAAGATTATAAAGCTGCTATGTGAGAGTTGTAAAATGAGAAAAAAAGGACCAGGGGTGGAATTATGTGGCATATCCCTTTAAATGGGCCAGGAAGAGGAGAACAGAGGCAGATTGGAGATAAATGAAAATCAGTAAACAGTTGTTGGTTTGAGTAGGAAAGATGGTTCAAATGCAATAGAATATTCATGTGGGATTAAAATGTATTCATTGAAGTTGGTGAATAGTGTTAGAGGCCCTAATAAGAGCATGGGAAGGAGATGGATTAGAAGGTATGGAAATCAGGATAACAAAGAATTTCTCTTTCATGAAATTTGACCCTAAAGAGAAGGAAAGAGGTACCAGCCAAACGGGGAGGTTTTCCTGTCACTCCTCTCTCTAAGGAGTGGGAAAGCTTTAAGCATGTTTGTAGACTCTGAAAAAAGAAGAAAAGATAAAATGACATTGGGGTATTTCAGCGGAGCTGAGAATAAATGGTTTCGAGAGTATAGCTGAAGATATTATAGTAGTTTGCCCAGAATTAACAGTCTCCTCTTTTTGAGGCTGAAAAAGTGCCAAAGGGACAGAAAGAGTAGGGAAGGGGCTGGGAAATTCTGGTGTGTGACCCACAACTTTGCCTTTTAGTAGAAGGCAAAGTTGGATTTTGAGAGTAAATATGGTGGAAGTAGGGTGTAGACTTTGAAATAAAGCAGAAAAGTTGAGAGAAAACTCTAATTTGTTATTAAATGAAAACCAGAAGCATCTCTCTCAGTGCAGATTTGGTGAGGAGGGATGCAAACTTGCAACCAAATACCTGCTCACATTTTATTATACACATGTTAACAGCCGGGTGTTTATTTTCTGCTTCTTCATACGTATAGTTTGGGTTGGTCCCCTTTTGGGTTGTTTTTATGTTTTGTTTTAAACATATATAGGGAAATACTGTGCTTATTATTTTTTTTAACTTTATCACTTCATAATCGATTTTGGATATTTGGTCATTTTTGTTCTAAAAAGAGATGGGAATACCAGACTACCTTACCTGCATCCTGAGAAACCTGTATGCAGGTCAAGAAGCAACAGTTAGAACTGGACATGGAACAACAGACTGGTTCCAAATTGGTAAAGGACTATGTCAAGGCTGTATACAGTCACCCTGCTTATTTAACTTATATGCAGAGTACATCATGCGAAATGCTGGGCTGGATGAAGCACAAGCTGGAATCAAGGCTGCCGGGAGAAATACCAACAACCTCAGATATGCAGATAATACCACTCTAATAGCAGAAAGCAAAGAGGAACTAAAGAGCCTCTTGATGAAGGTGAAAGAGGAAAGTGAAAAAGCTGCTTCAAAACTCACTATTCATAAAACTAAGATCCTGCCATCAGGTCCTATCATTTCATGGCAAATAGATGGGGAAAGTGTGGAAACAGTGGCAGATTTTATTTTCCTGGGCTCTAAAATCACTGCAGATGGTGACTGCAGCTATGAAATTAAAAAGATGCTTGCTCCTTGGGAGAAAAGCTATGACCAACCTAGAAAGCATATTAAAAAGCAGAGACATCATTTTGCTGATAAAGGTCCATATAGTCAAAGCTATGGTTTTTCTAGTAGTCATGTATGAATGTGAGAGTTGAACCATAAAGAAGGCAGAGTGTGGAAGAATTGATGCTTTTGAACTGTGGTGTGGAGAAGACTGTTCATAGTCCCCTGGACAGCAAGGAGATAAAACCAGTCAGTCCTAAAAGAAATCAAGCCTGAATATTCATTGAAAAGACTGTTGCTGAAGCTGAAGCTCCAATACTTTAGCCACCTGATGTGAAGAGCTGACTCACTGGAAAAGACCCTAATGCTGGGAGGATTGAAGGCAAAAAGAGAAGGGGGTGACAGAGGATGAGATGGTTGGATGGTATCACCGACTCAATGGGCATGAGTTTGAACAAGCTCCAGGAGATGGTGATGGACAGGAAAGCCTGGCATGCTGCAGTTCATGAGGTTGCAAGTAGTCAGACACGACTTAGCAACTGAACAACAATAATAACATGTAATTCTTAGCTATTTCCCTTTTGGTGTGTATTTAGGTTACTTCCATCTTTTTATTGTTATAAAACTTAGCACTTTCGTGCACTTGTTTCTTTTAGGATACCAAAAAATATAATTGCTGGGTCTGTTGCATTTTAAAAATTTTTATCATTTATAATCTGAGTTAACTTTTTCTTCTTATAGGACAAAGCAGTGATAGTGAAGATCTTCCTGTCCTAGACAATTCAAGTAAATGTACCCCAGTAAAGCATCTTAGTGTATCTAAGCCACAGAAGCTTGCACGATCCCCTGCAAGGATATCCCCTCACATCAAAGATGGAGAAAAAGATAAACAGAAAGAAAAACATCCGAATTCATCCCCTCGGACATATAAGTGGAGCTTTCAACTCAGTAAGATGCTTATAGAAAACTTGAATGTATATCACAAAGTGGTATATATTTTAAGATGTCAAAACAAAAGAATAATAATTAGCAAATTCATTTATTTAGGTATCCTAAATATTGCCTTATCAATAATCACTACTTACTATCATAAGTGAAAGAATCTGGGTCCTATATATTAACTTAATAAATACTGACTGGAGAAAGCTCTCCAGTTATGAATTGAGACATGTATGATTTATACAGATTGATGAAATTTAAACATCCTTTGTTGTATTGACAATTGGAAATAACTAAAACATCAATACAAAGAGACTATACGGTTGAACAGCTACAGTTAATAGATCAGAGATGCTGTATGTTGGATGTTTTCTTGTGCCTCTCTGATCATTTCAGTGATATATCATTAAGTAATATATGTTAGAATTTGGGATGTATATAGGAATCTTATTCATGAATTTAATGTCTTCTCTTTTTATAGAACCTTTAGTGTACTATTAGGTTTTAATAAGCTAATAGCTTTTGTTGATTTATGAGACAGAGTTTTGAAAGAACTGCCATCTGTTTTTTCTTATAGAATTATTTTTAAATCCAAAGTAACTATTTTTTTTGCCTTTTAGATGAATTAGATAATATGAACAGTACAGAGAGAATCTCTTTTCTCCAAGAAAAACTACAGGAAATCAGAAAATATTACATGTCTTTGAAGTCTGAAGTTGCAACCATAGACAGGAGGAGAAAAAGATTAAAAAAGAAAGACAGAGAAGGTAATTTGATTATAATTTTTCTTCCCTCTATTTTTCAAATACATACCGTATCACTTTAGAAGATTAAAGTTTGTCACTTTTTGAATATAGTATATCAATTATTTTTAGATTCCTAGGTTTTCTTCTTTGTTGCTGTTGTTGAAATGAGTCAACAACTCAATTAGTCAGAATGAGACTTTTACTTTTGGTTTTTTAATGTTTTTTAAAAAATTATTTATTTTTATTTTTTGGCTGTGCTGGGTCTTCTTTGCTTTGTGTGTACTTTCTCTGATTCCCATGAGCGGGGACTCCTCTTCATTGCGATGTGCAGGCTGTTGAGTCGGGTGGCTTTTCTTGTTGTGGAGCGCAGGCTCTCGGGCACATGGGCCTCAGTAGCTGCCGCTCACCGTAATTGTGGTGATGGGCTTCGGTGCTCTGTGGCATGTGGGATCTTCCCAGGCCAGGGTTGAACCCAGCCTCTGTCCCCTTGATTGGCAGGTGGACTCTAATCCACTGCTCCACCAGGGAATTCCAGAATGAGACTTTTGAAAGGGACTAGGAGCTGTTTTGCAAAATGTGTGATTTTACTAAATGTGGTGGGTTCTCAAGAAGAGCCTACTCCCTCTGAGTATCTCTCACTGTTCAACAGACATTTTATTGACTGTCTATTAACAGGCATTATATATTATGGGGTTTATAAAAATGAAGAGGCATATGGCTTCTTCTCTAGCAGATTGTCTTGTTGGGATCGTTAAGTCATTTCCTAAGCAACTACTGCATAAGATACTTCAGCTCTACAACATTAATGCACATATACCATATGCCAGGCCTTTCTTCAGGTGGTGAAAGTGCAGAGATGAATGAGATACAGACCTTGATCTCAAAGTCTTACTGTCCAGTGGAACTGTGTGTTGAGAATCCTAAGAGTGATACACAAGTATAGGTGGAAGGAGAGATGACTTTGATATAATCATAAAGACAGTAGCATCTAAGCTAAACCTTAAAATTGTATAGGATTGACTTTAGTTAAACATTGTCATGCTCATGTCTACCCCAAGCCCAGGCCTCACTAAAATAAAGAAAATTAAAAGCCCTATACACACAAGGATAAGAGAATGGGACAGCAGATTGACTGTGGCCAACAGGAAATGAGAGCAGTATGTCAGCACATGAGAGAATGCTAAAAACCTAAGCTTGTTTATCCTTGTAGTGGGACAAAACAAGGAGAAGCTCACTACATCACCCCCCAGAAAAGCTCTGAAGGCAATGTGAAGTGTGAGGCTGAAAAATGGAGACTGGTTGAAATGGAAGGAGAAATTGGATCCTTTCATCCCACCCTGTAAAGCAAACTACCTTTTCCCCTAGCTTTAGCCAAAAAAAAAAAAAAACAGGAGGTTAAGTTATTGGAGGCTGGAAGGGATCAACAGGCTTATAGACAGACTCAGGAAACCAACCATAGCTGACTGAAGGTGAAGGTTAAGTGGTATTAAGTGGTAAACCAAAAAGAGGGAGCTTGAGTGAAAGTTGCCAGTAATGAATGATGAGACTCCTATTCCTTTTCCAAACAACGATCTCATCTTCTTAGCTCTCTGAAAGCTGGTAACTAAGCTTATGATCATTCCTGGAAGGAGACTGAAAGATTTCTTCTAAAGAAACTGGTCAGTCCAAAAGAAATGATCTAACAGAGATACCAGCATTTGGAGGTTCCTGAACCAAAAAGCAAGTTCCTTGCCAATCACTACGTGTGCAGTGCCCAACATTTAAAAGCCTGACATCCTCATGTACAGCTTCTGATTAGCTTAATGCTCCTTCACTTAAATATGGAAGTGAAGACCAGATATTTGAGGAAAGCCCCTACATAAAGACAGAAACCAAAATAGAAAATGAGAACAAAAAATAACTTGGACACTATGCCATATAAAAACAACTATAATTAATTTCCAGAGTTACAGGAAGGATACTGCAGTCTTGAAACAAGAATGTGGTGGTGGCTTAGTCACTAAGTTGTATCTGACTCTTGGACTGTAGCCTGCCAAACTCTGTCCATGGGATTCTTCAGGCAGGAGTACTGAAGTGGGTTGCCATTTCCTTCTCCATGAAGCCAGAATGTGAGACTTATCAATGAAATTCAGAGAACATGAAGGATCTATTAAAAATGCGGTAGTAAGAATAAAAAATAAAAAGGATTAGATAACAAGGCTATAGAAACACCAGTAAAAAGTAAAAAAGACAGTAGGAGAGAATAAGAGAAGAATAGGACCTGGCTGGGAGATCCAACTTGTGAATCACAGGCTCTCTAGAAAGAGAGCACTGAGTAAACAGGAGGAAGTTGTCATCAAAGACCTGAAAAGCCCAGGACTGAAGGAGGGGGTTGGAAGATTGAAAGGACTCGCTGTGGCCTCTCTAGAATGGGGCGGGGCGGGGGTGGGTGGCAGGAATTACACAGAAGCAAATGATGAAATTTCAGAACACTTTGGACAAAGGTTAAGATGCTAAAAGCTTACCATGTATGTGTTCTTCTCTCAGTCATGTCTGACTCTTTGCAACCCTATGGAACTGTAGCCCACCAGGCTGCTCTGCCCATGGGATTTTCCAGGCAAGAATACTGGAGAGGGTAGCCATTCCCTTCTCCAGGGGATCTTCCCGGCCCAGGGATTGAACCCATGTCTTGTACATCTCCTGCATTGGCAGGTGGGTTCTTCATCACTAGCACCACCTGGGAAGCCCTTTACCATATACAGGTACATATAAAAAGATGGGCCTCGAAACCACATCAGATTTCTCATTTCAGATTTCTTGATGATGACATTAAAACTAAATGCCAAGTTATGAAGATAACATGAGATCCAACAAAGAAGGAATCCCACACAGGAAGACAATAAGGAAAATCTCAAGATGATGGTGAATGGAAGCCCTAGAATGACTACTGCATAGCAAGCCTACAAAGCAGCTATTTCAGAAACAGGATAGAACAGTAGGGGAGGGCTCTAGGAGGAATGTCCCTTTAAGGAAAAAAAAAAAGTAAATTACCTGATAGGCTTGCCCATCTTGAGAGAAGTTTTCTATCTATGGCACGTAAGGGATGAATTACTGATAGAATGGACTGTATCATATGTGGTCTTGAAGCATTCGACTCCAAGTCCAGCAGTTCTCAATTCCTGGAAATACGGTGGAGCAAAAGGAAAGAGACTGATTTTCCATGTTTGTCCTTTTCTTGAAAAACTAAATAGCAAGAAGTCTTTACAGAATTTTTAAACACAAGAAGAACAAATCAACAAATGGAACTTTTTTCAGAGAACTTTTCCCCCCCCCCAATTATTTTTATTAGTTGGAGGCTAATTACTTTACAATATTGTAGTGGTTTTTGCCATACATTGACATGAATCAGCCATGGATTTACATGTGTTCCCCATCCTGAGCCCCCCTCCCATTCAGAGAACTTTCAGTTGCTTTGAGTTTCCTAAAGGTCATACAGGTTTCTGACAACCAAGAATATAATTTTCTTATGGTCTTCTTCCCTTTTTTGATTTTTTAACTTGTGTGTGTGAAGTGAGTTATTAAAGTGAGACATTGAGTGGACCAGCAATACATATTGACTTCTAGCATACATATTGGAGTTTGTAGTAATAAGTTAAATATATTGACAGTACCCACACTGAGGGAAGTACACCTAAATAAAAATTAAAACTTCAAGTAAAATAGGAATAATTGGGCAAAGATTGGCAAAAGGTAGAGCTCTGCAAAGAAGTATAAACTAAAAAATGGCAAAGCAGCTGATGTGTAGAATAGTGATCTTTAATCCACGCTTCTGGAGCATTTTGCTCCATGTGGGCACTTTTCCTAGTCACTCAGCCACAGTTCCATCCTGATCCCATGATTCTGATAACCTGATCTAGATTGCTGCTCTTTGCTTATGAGAGTCTTGTGTCCATCAGGTATATTAGGACAGGATAAAGATAGGAAGCCTGTGGTTAGCTGGTTACAAGAAATTTTCTAGGATGAGGGAATTCTCTTGGGGTCCTATAACCCAGAGAAAGGCAGGAATTTGCTGCAGTGAAAACTTATCCCAGGGTGATCTTGTTTCTGATTTGGGGACAAGGTGGTTTTCTTTTAGGAATCTTTCAAGTAGGAATTTAAGAGTTTATACCTAGTCTTTATATTTTATGGTGCCTTTTTTGAACTCATTTACTTAGTGATTAGAGACTGATTCTACTCCCTTAAGCCAAACAAAATTTTTGTTGTTGTTAATTCCTTCATGCATCATTTGAGAGGACTATAATGGAAGTGAATAATGTTAAGAATTTATTTCTAATTTGCCAGTGGTTGGGTATCTGTGTGTGATAGTTTTCCAGTCTAATGTAGCTTGTTTGATTCCACAGTGTCTCATGCTGGAGCCTCCATGTCATCTGCTTCATCAGACACTGGAATGAGTCCCTCTTCATCATCTCCCCCACAAAACGTACTTGCTGTAGAATGCAGGTGATAAATGTTTTCTCTGCCTTCCCAGCAGTTTGCTGCCATGGACATAAATCCCCAAACCCTGAAATACAACCACAGAAAGCACTCAACTGGTTTGACATTGCTAAGTATATCCTGTACACTTTTCAAGGCTGGATTGTATCTATTCCCTTCTCTTTTCTTTTTTTCTGTTGCAAAAAATAAGCTGATTAGTAACTGAAGTTTAGGCAGCCTGCCATATTTGTCATAATTTTTCCTTTACAATTTTTTTTTCATTTTTTCTTGTGAAGATAGAAAAAGGGCACTTAGCAAATTTGAAATTGTATAATAAAGCTTTCAGGTGTTACAGAAATCATAGACAAGCAAGTGCACATGATAAACATCAAAATATTATCCAGCTAAATAGTTACTGCTGCACTTTCACTAAGATGTATTTGAACACTTGGTGAGTAGGGGGTTTATGTTGTGTTTTTTTTTAATTGTTGTTGGTTTTATTATTTTTGTGGAAGCACTTGCTATTTAGAACTGCCAAAGTATATGTTCAGCAGTGTGCCCAGGTTTAAGGTGTAAATGGGACAAAATAAATTGTGAAAGGAAGTGTAGTTGACTGAAAACTACAGTTGTAATAAGTCTTCCACTTTTTATAGGATTTTTGAGCACACAATTATGCAAATATTTTAATGTTTATTAATGTTTACAGTGGAATTGTGAATAAGTTTTCAGTGGACTATCTTATCCCTTGACAAAAATATTTTGTCTTTTTTCTATGTAATTTCAGAGTTTTTATTTTGTTACAAAAAAAACAAAAATGAAATATATAACAACAATGAAGTTATTTAACAAGATTTCTAAAGCTGAAAATTTTGTGTAAAATAAGGTATTATCTTGCAACTTGTTAAATATATTTATTCAGACATTGGATGTTGTATTTTTATGTATTTTTTAAAATATTAATAAAATTGAAAAAAAGAAAATTCTAGGTTAATTCACTCTTCAAATGACAATAGCTCTCAGCTGTCCCTTTTACAGGAGGTTGCACCCAGCGGCTTTGCCTGTATTGAAGGGAATCTGTCTCAGTCCTTCAAACAGTGTAGAACTATATAAATGGGCATCTGGATCATTGAAGTATGTCCTTGTTTAGAAACTTTGGCAGTCCTAGTATTTAAACCATTTTGAGGATCAAATTTTTGGTTGCCCTTAAGATATTTTGTCACAGTTTTTATGTTTGCTATACTGCCGAATAAATTTATATCTCCCAAAGTTGAGATGCGACAACTAAGTAAAGCAATTATGTATGCTTTGTTTGTGAATTGTTTCACAGACTGATACATTTTGTAAATAATTCTTCCAAAATCATGTATTTAAAGCATTTTTGCCATATACATTATGTAAAAAGGTGATTTTTTAAAATCAGTTTTTAAATTCATGTTTGTACATTGAAAGGGGTTTTTTTTAAACCTCCTTTTCTGTGTTTAATATGCTGTAGAGTAATAACCTAGATGCTCTAGACTGTATATCAGGATCTGATTTACAAGAACAAAGTCAGAGCCAAACACTAGTGATGGCATAGCATTACTGAAATCATTGTTTCTTAATTTCATTTTACCACATTGTGAACTTGTGATTCAGATTCCTTCCATTTTCGCAGAGAATTAAAAACAAAAAAGTACTCTTGTAAAATGCACTTTTCTGTCTTTTCTTTGCAAAGCAGAAGTATTTCAATGTAAAATAAAAATGGAGCTCAGTGGGCAGTATTAATAAAGGCCATGTTTTAAACATAGGCTTTATATTTTCAGTTTTCATTTAAGTGATTGTTTTTTTTCTCCCTAAGTGCCAGTAACTCAGAGTTGGAAAATCAGACTTCACAAAACAAAGCATATTCAATATATTCTATATATTCTTCAGTCTCTACAATTAAATATTTCTAGTACTTAATTATAAAAATCTTAAAACTGTGTCGTTCTAATACAGTTGGAACCAAGAGGCAACCTTACATTCATACATTAGATATTTTAATGATTTATCAGCTTGATATTGTCCTTTCTAATCAATATAAATCTGGTAATGAAGTATTGAGACCTTGCTACAGACAGCAAAATTATATATTCACTGAATGGGTACATGAACACTGTTAAAATCCTTTTATTGGGGCCAGTGGCCAGAAAGGACTATGAAAGTAATTGAATTTTGAAAGAGTATTGATGAGGTATTAAATTCAAACATTCAGCATATTTTGAGATTAGCTAACCTTTGAGTAGATAGATAGCTCTTCTATATGACTAAAAAAAAAATAAAGGTACTCTTTAATATCTAAAATGAAAGGTGCTATCTATAAAATCAACTTTTTTGAAGATTATGGAGATTTGTTTTAATATCCCAGGTGTGCTTTTATGTAAAATTTCTGGTTTTCCTGTTCTTCACTAAGATATTTGTACTTAGCACATACATGCTCTGTCTTCTACAGAATTACTTTAAATTGGAAATCTTTATGCACTGTGCTGTTAATTTCTTTATATACCTTTCTCATAAGCCCTGTATAACATAGCTATCAGCATCGTGTAAGCATTTTGAAGCTCTGAATTTAATCACACATAAAAACAATTATTTGAATTCATTCATCAACAATTTATTGGGTATCTTTGATGTCCCAGGCATTGTGCTAAGGCCCAGGAGACAAAACAGTGAACGTGACAGAAAAAGGCCCCTGTATTTGTGGACTGCATAATCTAATGAGCTCTATGTTAAACAGTTACGCTGTGTAATTCTTATCTATTGGCCGGATTATCATATGAAGTTATGGCATGCCATGAGAAAAATGATAGAGTTCAACTAGTGTGAAGGCAAAGGTGGTCTGGGGAGGCTTTGCAGAGAAAGCAAACTGAGCCCCAGTGAGGATTATAAATTGGTTAGACAAATAGGAGGAGAAATATGGAAAGTAAAATGCTCAGGCACATTGAGGAGAACATGGTGGTAAGAGAACAGAGCTGAGGCAAAAAGGCAGAGGTATTTAGGCACTGCCCAAGTCTTATATTCTTGCCCATCTCTGCCTCTTGCTGCTTCTGTTCCCCCCACCACTCTCATCCCTACATATTCAGAACTATTTTAAGAGCCACTTTTCCAGGAAGCCTTTGCTGACTTCTTAACCACACCCAGAATATCACTCTCCTCTATACTCATATAACATGTTCAATCTTTAATATTTTCTTGACAACTTGTACATTAGTTTATGCATGTGTCTTTCTACCTTACTAGATGTGTAGTTCCCTAAGTACTCCTCAGTCACCGGGGTATCCCACAAAGTGCCTGGTCCAGCACCTAAAATGTAGGAAGATGGTCAAAACTATGTTTACTTCAGTTAAGGTTTGAATTGCCATTGTATTTTTACTAATGAAAGACATGTAAAAGTTGTCTTTGGTGTTCTTTTCATAAAGTGATTTAAAAATAATATTTGAAAAGTATAAAACTTGATCAACAGTCTAATCTCCAAAAAATACCCTTAAGCTGATGAGTTCTTTTTCCTCTTCTTGTTTCTTCTTCCTTTTCCATTACTCTCCTGTAGTTACAGGTTTTTAATCCCATTACAGGAAAACTACCGTATGTCATAGCATTCATCATTAGTGAACACTGAAAGATTTTAAACACAATAAGAAGAGCAGTGTTTCTAATTTTGGAATTTGTAATTAACATAATTATAAAGTCATCTTCATTCTATAATTGGTACCACACAAAATTCACCTTGAAAAGTTCTACTTTTGAAAAACTTAAGAAACTTCTATGTAGACACAATAAATGAGTACTCTACACAATAAGTAACTGGATTTCTTCTCAAGGCTAAGTTACATTAAATAAGACAATCTGGTTCAAATCACTTTTGAGTACATCTCATTGACTTCCCTAGTGGCTCCGTCCATAAAGAAGTCGCCTGCAATGTGGGAGACCTGGGTTCAGTCCCTGGGTTGGAAATATCCTCTGGAGAAGGGCATGGCAACCCACTCCAGTATTCTTGCCTGGAGAATCCCTATGGACAGAGGAGCCTGGCAGGCTGTAGTCCATGGGGTTGCAAAGAGTTGGACATGACTTAGCGACTACACACAGCACACGTAAAAATTATGTTTATTTATCTGAAATTCAAATGAACAGTTTTGGTGATGCAGTCAGTATCTCCACAATTAGCCCTATAATAGAGCTAGTTTAAGGCAGTTATGAACACAGACTTAACTGGTAGTATTCCTTTGATAGGACACCTTTCCCATCAATAGCTAACTGCTCTTAGAAATTCTCTTTGATCCTTATCCAAACCTGCACTCAAAAACCTAGCGTAAATCTAACTGCATTAAAATTAAAAACTTCTCTATGAGAAGACTGAATAATTATGAATAAAGCCACTATAAATATTTGCATACAGGGTTTTGAGCATAAGTTTTCATTTCTCTTGGGTAAGCACCTAAGAGTGAGTTTTGTATGACTGTACCATTTTGCATTTCCACCAGCAATGCAGAAATTTCAGTTGCACTAAATCCTTGCCAGTACTGGATATTGTCAGGTGTTTTTGTTTTTTAGCAGTTCTAATAGTTGTGATATTTAGACAGGTCAAGTGATTTGCCCATCTTCAGCTTAAATCCTATTAAGGAGAATTTCAGATCCCTTAAGTTCTCCTTAACCATACCGAGTGTTGGGGTGGATGCAGAAGAACTCAAAGTCTTACACCCTGGTATTGAGAGTACAAAATGGTACAACTACTTTGGAAAAATTTCAACAATTTATTAAAAACTTATTTTTATTTTTTTCAACAATTTATTAAAAATTTAAACATAAAACCCAGCCATTCCATACTTAGAAACCAAGAGAAATGAAAGCATGTCCATACAAAGTAACAAAAACTTGAAATAACCCAAATATCTATCAGCTGGTGAATGAATTAATAAATTATTGCATATCCATACAATGGAAAACAGCAATGAAATAGATGAGACAGGTAACAAGTTAGTTGACTCAATTAAGCTGAGTGAAAGAAGCCAGTCAACA